AAACAAAACAACTTAAACTATACTGTTACATCATTCAGTCAACAATTCAATACCACTACGAAAAATTTATTTGTAAACCGAAATTGTTGATTAAAATATTTATTTAGTGGTTATAAATAACAAAATCTTAATTGTGAAAAAATAGGGTTAGGGAGGGGATGTGTGACTGTTCCAGAATCTATGAGGACGTAGGTGATCGCTTTCTCGTTGTCTACTCACAAAATTTCAGCATCTTTGCCTTTCAACATTAGTAAGGTGAATCTATTAGCTGCGTCATTTTTATAATGTTCTCAATAAATTTTTTCAACAGATTCGCTCAGAATCATTTTTTCGAATTAGTCTGTTAATGAAAATGAAATGATTGTGAATAAGCTAATTACATTCTGCATATTTTCATTCAAATTTTACTTTTCGACGAAACAAGAAAGTTAATTAAACTTTCGACTAAACGAGAACTAACCATTTTATTCTTCTCGTTTAAATTATTTTTTTTCTTTTGACTTTTTGTTAGATACTGATGAAGAACACGAAGAGGCAGCTGTCAGCAACGATATATTGGCATTGTTAAAGTAAAATATATTTTTTTCTTTGATTGATTATAATTCAATCTATAAGTGGTGTATAAAAACATAGACGAGTACTCGAAAGTAGTTTTTGTTCTACAGATTAGGATTTGGTTGTACGTATCAGTTTGAATATGAGTCTTCTCTCCATTGTAGATTCACATGTCAGATATAGAGAGGCACATCCTGTAACAGGGAAGGTTTCTAGCTGAAATCAATAGTTTTCGATAGGAATTTTCGTAATTTTGATACCTTATCAAAAAATTTTTTGGGACTAAAGCTTGTTTGCAAAACCTCCCTAATATCTCGTTGTCTATTGAAAATGGGAAAGTAGTCTATTAATGTTGGTCGATTAACTGGAATCGTTGAAAGTGTGATTTTCATAGATGGATCCTATTTACCTTGAATAGTGACTTCAAAATCGTGAGACACATTGTAGGAGTAATCGATAAAATGAGATTTAAGGTTTTTTCTTTGTGATGGATATGGCACACTTGTGAACATCTGTGTCATGTTTATGCTCCCTCAGATTCCGATTCACAGTCACACTGGGTCGAGCCCAGACCTTCTAAGGCTGCATACATTTCCTGAAGTGGTGTGTATATAAATTAATAGAATTTTGTTGAAAGGTGGGGGTGTGGATATGGGTTTGCACCCACATCCACATCTAAACTATACAATTCATTTCTATACTTTATTCATATTGAAATTGATACCCAGATCCATCTGACACGTAAAGGATAAATATCATTTTTACGCCGTTTTATAATGAAAATGAATTCTCTAACGGTACCGAATAGAAGCCCAAAGTAGGGAGTTGTATTTGTAACAAGAATGAGTTTTTACCATACGTCTTCGAAATTTAATACAAATGATTACAAAAAAATTCTGTAGCTTATGCCATCTAGAATATCATAATGTGACGAGATTTGAATTTTCTGGAAATTGGAATTTACCATGCCCTCGTGTATTATCAACATCATGTATGTTTTGTATTCTGAGAAAGTCAATCGTTTCTAAAGTTCTGTATTCATCTCTCAAATAATATACTTTTTCTTTTGCTTCATCATATTTATAAATAAAAAGCACTTAGGACCTTGTTTCGAAGTAGTCCTATAATATTCAATATTGTTTTCTTGATTATCAGTAAATATCTCTATATTGTTTGTCTGAATAACAACAAACCGGAAGAAAAATCAATATTATTTTTATTGGATATTTTTCTATTGATAATTCTTATCGAATATAATCATGAAATTGAAATTTATATTCTGATGAAAAATGTTTTTTCATCACAATTGAAACAAATGTCTGTGTCAAGACAAAAATGTAAACATCTGTTGTGTTCATCAATTGTAAATTCTTGTTCGCATATATCACAGTAAACTATTTCATTTTTTGTGAATTCTTCTTTACATACTTCTTTGTGATGTTCTGATGTCCTCTCGAGTATTCTATAGAGAAAACGTATTTGTTGTGATTGTTGTTTTACTATTGTTTTGAGTTCAGCTATTATCGGTTGAATTTTCACTAAAGGATATACTCGGATATAATCTTGCATTTGATCAGGTTATCCTTTTCAATCACAGTTGATATCCGCTGCTGGACATGATATGATTATTTTTCTACATATTTTGATATGATCTTTGAAATCACCTCATTGAATATTACTTTGTGAACACCATTTGCATTTAAAAAGAATTTTGTTGAGTTGATTGAGAAAATGCCGTGTGGTAACAGGATGAAAATCGTCGATTGTTAACGTATGATGACACGTTGGACATTGTGATCTTATACAAAAAGTATTAATGATACATTTACGACAAAATATATGTCCACATTGATTAGCACAGACAGGTTCTTCGAATGGATCAGTGCAAATAGGACAAAAGAGTTCTTCATCAATAGAATCTTCAGTCATATTTTTCCAGTCGATATTGATTGCCATTTGAGACGAAATGAATAAAAAAAGACATATATTTCTCTTGTACTTTTATACCTATGAGTTAATTGAAAAGTAGGAAAAATAAAAGAAAAATTGACGACGACCAATATGACTAGTCCACAATGTTCATCACATGTAGTCAGAAACGTCTTCTATACTCGTTAATTTTTGGACGAATCCAGTCATGTAGAGTCTGTTTCGTTTTTTAATCTCATCCAAACTAGTCATGAAACAGAAAAATCGGAAAAAAGAAGACGAAAGGTGGATTCAAACATTCGATATTTAGAAATCCAAGTAGACAATGGAGACATCAATACAAATTTCGTCATATCATGTCTATTGGATTCAAAAAAATTAAAATAGATATGTTTCATGTCTAATCCATTGATGGCAACTGGTTAAGAAACAAAACAACTGTTCTTATTGGTCTCATTGAATATTCACACAACTAAGATCAAATAAAATAGTCTTGAATGATTTTCATTCATATCTTCAAATTGATTATTAATTTGATTGAATTCTCAATTGGATATGATTTTGAACAAGATGATTTTCGACAAGTTCAGTTTGACTTCATTCAATTGTTCTTTGTTTTACTGTTCAATGTCGACTTTCTCTCTCAAACATGAAACACAATTAACAAACAAAAGCTTCGCACTTTATTCATTCGACATTTTTCCTTCTGCCTTTTCCCACCATACCTTTCAAAGCATCCTTTCAAATACCGTAAATTTGATGTCAAATCAATACGTTTTTCAGATTGAGATCAAGAAAATAATATTTACGAATTATACATTCTCATAAGAAAATAAATCATACTTTGTTTGAATGAATAATTCTAGTTATCCGCTCAGACACAGTGGAGTTGCAAACATGTCTGAGAAGAAAAATTGAGTTTTTATAAATGTATAAAAGAGAAAGGTATAAGCAAAAAAACTTGGCCCATTTGTATATGATTGAATTGAAAACATCAACAAGTCGGAACAATTACATCGAGAGAGAATAGGAAGGAAACAGAGTGACATTATCGAGAACATTTTTATTTTCAAAATTATTTAAAATTATTTTTTGAAGAAATAGTAATATAAGTAACTGCAATGCCATTTGATTTATTAAACCCTTTTGCTCCTGCAGTTGGTGTAAACTGATTAAAAACACATTTTATACACCACAATCAATGACAGTATTATTTGAAAAAATTCTTTGTGAGCTGATCAGTTGAGATAAAAATTTGCAATGTAATTATAAATATAAATTCATGAGGACAAAGTAAAATCATATACAATGCTAAAGTTTCTCAGGTAAGGGTAACACCATGCAGTATCGTTGATTGCGATAAAATATATATGCAGTTTTAGCAATTTAATCCTCTCGAACGTTAATCAAATAGTCATCGATAAACCAGTAGAGAATTTATGGTGCTTTATTTTATAATTTATTTTCTGATCATCTAGTACTAACTTCACCTTGGACGACAAACGCAGATAAACTCCTGCTATTATTCGTAGTATTTGTCTTGTAAAAATCCATATCAAGGGTCGTATGGTACTGTATACCGTATATATGTTGATCTATGACAAATATTGACATAACGAGAAACGAAATCAATGACGACGATATATAAGAGCCATGCAACATTTTGAGAGTTAAATGATAAAAAATATCTGTTTGACTTAAAATATTTATTAATTTTAAGAAAGGCGGTATTGTATTAAAAGATGTCGATACAATACAAAGTGAGAAATTTTTTCCTTTCATATTCATAGTAAATTGGTATCATAATCATTTAATATTTTCATTTATCTCTTACCTATTTTGGTACGATATATTTTCGAATTCAGTCACTTTCTCTAATATTATTGTTCACTGATGAATTTTCTTTTAAAAGTCAATTTTTAAACTGCATTTTTTATGATTAAAATAAGATACTTTGGATTAAGTTTGTTTCTAAATGAAATCAAATAAAATTCATAGTATATTAGCTTATTTCTATTTTTAGATTAATTGTAATGATGATTATCAGACTATACTTATTTATCTCTTTGCAACTAATATCATATTTCTCGATTGGTACTAAACCTAAGCTAACATTGGATGAATTTTTCGAATATACGACTTTTCCTTTGATAAGTTTGTCACCGACTAATAAACATTTACTTATTCACACAACTCGCCCATCATGGAATATCAGCTCTTTCGAACACACGTTGTGGTTATATGATATTGAAAAACAGACAAGAAAATTGATTACTCACAATCTACATTCATCAATTAAACCCAAATGGTCACCCAATGGTAATTGGATTGCATTATCATTAAATAAATATCCATCCACAACTAGGATAAATAATCATCAAAACAAACAACAACCGGAACAGTATATTTATTTATATTCTGTTGTATCAGACGAATTATTACCTATTCATCTTGGAAATTATGTTCCCTTAACTTTGACATGGTCAAACAATAATTCGGTTTTTTACTTGGCTACAATGAATATATGGTCAACTGTTGAATATAATGATTTAGATAAAGATGAATGGTATGATGTTATTCAATATCGAAAAAACAAAGTGTTTGAAAGCACAACAATCTATCGGATTGATCTGACTGAAAATAATCATACACTAAATGTGAAAAGAAATTTTATCAATAATGTTTCTTTTCTAATTAGTGAAATTTTATTTGTTCCGTTGGAAGAAAAATTGGTATATTCGACCGTATCAAGAGACTTTGAAAATTTGAATGCTTTTGAACTCTATTTGATTGACCTTCGAAATACATCGTCATTAGTAAGATTGACGAATAATGAAATATTTGAACAAGATTTACAATTATCAACTGATGGTAAACAAGTATTATTTATGTCATGGCCTCTAGGTTCTACTAGAAAAAAATTTAATAATACACAAAATCGTCTTTATTCTGTAAATTTAGCAAATGGACAAATAGAACGTTTAGCAGAAAATTTCTTTGGTAGTATTATGGGATATGCAATGAAAAACGATGATGGTGTTTACATACTTGGACAATTAGGAACAGAAGTACATGTTTATACACAACAATCATCAACAAAAAATTTGATTCATCATAATGGATGGAATGGCACATATCGATCTATTGTATCATCACGTAATACTAATTCAATTGCATTTGTTTATTCATCATTCGAAAAACCTATGGAAGTTTATTTTATTAATAATATTGCTCAACTTCAATCATTACTAGCAATAACAAATTTTAATAGACTGTTTACTGAACGAGATTTGCCACAAGCTAAAGCGTATAGCTGGAAAAATGAAGATTATAACCAAATGATTGAAGGACTGTTACATTATCCACCTGGACAATTTCAATCAAAAAATCTACCACTTTTTGTTCTTATTCATGGCGGTCCGGCTGATGCAAGTCTCAATCAATTTTTGGCAAATGCCTTCTATTGGGCTATAATGGCTGCTTCAGAAGGTTGGCTGGTCTTAGAACCCAACTATCGAGGATCACCAGGGTATGGTGATCAATTTATAGCTGAAATTCGTTACAGACCTTTATCTGTACCTGGAAAAGATATACTTTCAGGAGTTGATCAGCTAATCAAAGATGGAATCGCTGATCCACATAGACTTAGTGTTGGTGGTTACAGTTATGGTGGTTTGTTAACAAACTGGCTGATTACACAAACTAAACGTTTTAATGCTGCCCTTTCCGGTGCTGGCATCACTGATCATGCTTCTGCGTGGGGCACGATGGATACACCAGCCTTTCATAAGTATTTCTTTGGAGGATTCCCATGGGAAGTTCCGTATATATATCAAAATGAGTCACCTATTTATCAGTTAACCAAAGTGCGAACTCCTACACATATCATCACGGCTGAAGACGATATGCGGATTCCTGCTAGTCAAAGTTATATGTTGGAACGTGCACTTTATTATCGAGAAATACCAGTAAAACTTATTACCTTCCCAAATGAAGGACACGCAATGGATTTTAATCCTTTACATGGTAAAATAAAAATCCGAGAAGAACTTAAATGGTTGCAAAAATATGGTAATCAATCATCAAGTTACAATGATTTATCTAATAACAATGAAAAACTAAAACTAAATTATGTTTTCGAAATATATATTTTATTGTTGTCGTACATAATTATAAAAAGTATATGATAGTAGGATGAGTCTAACATTTCGATAAATCTTCTTATTAAAGTTTTATAAGCTCACCAGAGATTCCAACAAGCAATTAGACTTGTCTGAGACAGATACAAGTCAGCCCAATACCTCCTCACAGTGGACAATTTTCACATATCAGGCGGATATGTAAGACAAGCTGATTTTCTCATTAACTAGAGAGAAGGTATTTAGGTTTTTTGATGAGATCTTTCAACGTGTATCATCAAAAAATTATTTGGTTTCCATTTCCATCGTCTTTTTGAAATAATAGAAGCTTTTAACGAAGTTTTTTATTATCAATATGTTGCATCAGCTTGAGTTACTCCTTATAATCAAAGAATTATCATGAGTAATTCATTGCGATCACCGATGATACACATTTAGGAGTATATTTATTGATTCACTGTTTAACTTCTTTTACTTTTGTTTGATTTACAACTTTTTTCCATATTTTTTTAGTATGTTTTGTTACTTTTTAACAACTTTTTTTTTACTCTTGTGATTTTTCAGTTTTTTTTTTAATTTATTTTCAAAATTCTGTTATTGTTCATAGGATAAGTTCACCTGTACAAAAGGGTGTGGATGTGGATGTGCATAAGAGGATCAACAGTCACATTCATACTCTATTGATTCATGTCTGTCTGAGAAGAGCTTGCACGGTTGATTCCTACTGTACGTGTTTTAGCAATTCTCGACGTAGTTTACACTTCAGAAATCGTTGAAATATACACTGGTTCGAGAAAAACGACAAACTAACTGATCAATTAAAAGAAACGTTTTCTATCATCAATTATTCATTTTCAATTAAAATATACGCTATATTCACAGTCAGTAAGAAAAAAGAATATAAAATGAGATGAAGAAACCTTGAAATTAAAATTAGTTTTGAAAGTTAAAACTAATTGATCAACAGCAAGCTAATCTTGTCGTTTGCTAACGAACGAAGTTTTTCTTTTGATCCTTCTTTCAATATGTTTGGTATTTGATTGTCTATATTGAGAACAAATTATAATGAAATAAAAAAATTGACAAATAGAATTAAACTATAGTTACTCGATGTTTTGTATAGCATTGTTAAAACAATGTTTTGATGTTTTTTGTCATTTTAATATAGACTCTTCAAATAGACGGCACAACAACGATAATAAATAATAAGCAAAAGCATGTTGTGATTGCCCCTAAGGGAAAATAGATCATTCTTTACTGATGTTCACTTTTAGTTGGTACTACTCAATGCAGAATCAGATTTCTTATCGAATAGTTTCATTTTTTTTATAAAAATTTATTGAGCAAACAAAAAGTCAGAATCGAATCATAAATATCGGACAAGATGTTTCATTTTAGGAATAGATTGCAAAAGTATTCATATGAGAATTTCTACTCTGATTAGAAATCATTGTAATATATATTAAATTGAGTTCTCTATTCAACAATCGTTAGTTGACCCATAAATTTTCAAGAACAAATACTGTTTTTTGGTATTATGCTCGTAGTTCTCTTATATGATTTTTTAGACGCTGTTGTGCTCTACGAAGTGTCAAATATGCTTTTTTATATTTATACAATTTAAGTATGACTATTCATATTAAAGTTGAACTTATTATAAAAACATCATTCTGCTCGTCATCCTTTTTATCTTGAATTTAAAAAAAAGACACTATTGAAAAAATTAATATAATTGATTTTTTACTGTATTGATGTGTATAAGCAACAAATGAAAGATAAAAAAGGCAATTGGAACAATTATAGCGATAATATTTATTATCATACAGTTACGATTTTTCATATTTGATATTCGAGTATATTATTTTTTTAAATATCATTGAAACACCAAAATTTCCTATTTCAATCAGAATTATGTTCAATAATAAACTCTTCATTGATTTACTCACTTTAACCCTTTAAGTACTACGACTCCGCTAGTGAAAGGATTTTCTTTATGAATTCATATTTGAGATACTTATTATGCAGCATTGATATTTCCATCGAAACTATTTGAAGATCTTAAAAACCAATTTCATGCATATATAAGGCTTTTAGTATAATCCTTAAAATGATGTATTGGTGATCTTCCTCATACCCGTTAGGTTTACTACCTGATTGACCTCATTAGTGTTATGATTTTTACATGGATGTATGCATCGACGTATCTTCTATGTCATAGCGAAAATCGCACTTCGATATCATTTCACGTTCGCTAGTTATTGAAAAATTAAGAAATTTAATAAAAGTGGGCCTTATTTGACACGCTGGTACTTAAAGGGTTAATTAGACAATTACATATTTAAGTATTATGATGTTTTACCGTAGTTGTATGCCATTGCTTATAATAGATGCTCTCTCAACCCCAAATCGAATTTTAACACATCTCAATTTGTTCAGTACCGACATATTAATTAAAGCTGCTCAATATCTTGGTGAAATGCTGAAGGAAAGCAAAGTGATTGTCGAAATTCATCTGGGAGTGACTGAAGTGAGGCTCTCTAGTGCTGAGTTCATTGCCTCGGAATTAAAAATGAACGAGAGTTTAATTTATTTGGATCTACTGAGGGCATACCAAAAGTAGTGGCGCCATTATCTTATTTTCGTAGAAGAAGCTTGAAGAAATTTTCTTTTCTTATGCAGTGATAGAGAATACGATACTCTACTTTTTATTGCGATTTGATCATACTTCAACTAATAGCATAATAATAAAATTTTGATAAGACCTGCTTTTCTCTCAAATGTGACGGTAATACTAATGTCCCTTTAGCGGCTATTATCTGAATAATTTTTGATAAAAAGAAGACAGAGAGCTGCGGTTTTCATCTTTCGAAAGAGGATATGAAGATGCATCAAGCCGCATATTACATTTATTCCTAACATGTTGTCTGAAGTTTCTTTAATCAATTTTCTAAGTGTGAAAAAATGGTTTCTTATCAAAAAGAAAATAGTAAAAAAAACTTTTTTCTTTTCACAGAAATTCTCAGAAAAACCGCTCATAGCTGGGACTAGTATACCTATAACTCTTGGATGATCAATTCTAAACATCTGAATCTTGTGCAGGTTTTCAGACCTCCCATTAGCGGTTTGAATACACACACGTAACAATTAAGAATTCACTGTAAACACCTCACGGGGTAGATTTGCTTTCAAAGAAGTTTATTGAAAAACTTAAATAGTTCATGTCAAAAAAATATGTAATATAGAATTTGATGCATCTTCATCTCTTCTTTCGAACGATGAAAACCACAGCTTTCTAGCTATTTCCGTTCTTGACTTATTGTAAAAATGCCCACAGTCATTATTTTTTTTAACAGGTTCTAGTTTTACACAAAAACAGTTCTTATCGAAATTCTATTATTATAATATTAGTTGAAGTATGATCAAATAACATAGAAAAACAGAGCATCGTTTTCTCTATCACTACATTAAAAAAGAAAATTTCTTCAAGCGTCCTATACAAAAATGAGATAATGGCGCCACTACTATTGATATGCCATAAGTATTTTCCAATAAAATTCATTCAGATGGAGGCTTTGTACTAGGCAATTCTTTAAGACTGAACAGAACTTTAACAAGATTAAATCTGTTCAAAAATAGACTAAAATCAAGTGGTGTGAAAACAATAGGAGAAGCATCATCGATAAATGAGACCCTAATAGATCTTTGTTTGAATTATAATGATATAGATTGTCTCAGCACTCAATATATCTCTGATGGATTAAAAAACAATGAGACATTATTGATACTATCTTTGACATCAAACAAAATTTCTTGAGTTGGTGCTACGGCTCTAGGTGCTAGTTTACGTATTAACAAAACTTTAGCTAATTTTGATATATCGTCAAATTCTGGATTCCGATCGTCTCTTGGCCTAGCTTGCATCAATGCAGTTCATATGACAATATTAAATTTAAGCAGCAATATTCAATAAATTAATTCCCGATGATTGTAAGTTTATTGAACATCTATTGAAAAATAATGAAACATTGAGTAGATTAAACTTAAGTTATAACGAGCTGACTGATGTTAGTCTCAAGTACGTTTGCGAAGGTTTTTTCACGTATAATGCATTGAAAATTATGGATCTATCTAGCTGTAAATTCACCGATGATGGTATGCACTTTATCAGCAAGATATTGAAGAACAATAAATTGTTAACGGAATTACGGCTATTTGGTAATGAAATCTCTGAAATTGGTGTTGCTGTACTTTAAGAATCGTTGAAATTCAACGGAACATTATGAAAGCTTCTAACTAATAACTTTGAAATAAAAGAAGCAGATCATTATTCACAGTTAGACAAAAACCAACGAGAAATATTTGAGACAAAAAGGGCTATAGATGATATTGTACATTTCATAGAGGAAAGTGTGATAAAAAAAAACGTCATATTACTGATCATCGAGTGAATATTTCAAAGAAACTGCCAATGACTATAGATGTAGAATGGACATGGGTGTTCTGTTCTGTACCCACATCCACATCGGTCCACACATTTATATCCACACTTCACACCCTTCAGTACGTTTCAGCTGAAACATGAAGAAGAAAAGTGCAGCACGTTATGATAGGGAACTAAGCAACTACTTGACTATCTAATCAAGTGGATGACGCTACTGAAGTGCATGATATTCGTCTATTTGTCGATATTATCAAAATTATTTTGGACATAATTTTCCAATGCTTGTGTACATTTTTCTTTGGTCTCTGAATCAAGTCGAAACGCAACTTCTGCTCCGTTGCGATCTGGTGGGATCCATTTGGTGCCATCGTATACTGGATTGAGATGAAATACCCTAAGATACAATACTCCCGCCCAAACTGTATGAAAACGACATTTATCTGTGTAACCGAAATCAACTAGACTTGCCCAGTTGTATTTCAAATTCGAATTGACGACGATCTCATTGGCAGAATGGCGAATATTAGCCAGTCGTTGCTCTCGTGCCATTGTACGCATAAGCACATTGGCAGTGGCCAACCAAGGTTCAAGAAACTTTGCATCTCGGGACTTAATAATCGACCGACGAATAGTCTGAGCGATATTTGACAATGAATATGGATCGTCAAAATCGTCCGATAACATCATGAATACAGCATTGGCGATCAGACCTTGTGGTGCAATCGAATCAGTAACACCACGAAAGTTTACAGCAGTATCAGTCCGTAAGATTCGACGATGATCATCGTTTTGAAAACAATGGCAATTCAATGTGCGAATAATATATGAGGTAAGTGCATCTTGAATAGTTACAAGACCACTACCAGCTAGTGTTCGTAATTTTATGAGTTGCTTGCTAGAAAAATGTAAATTCAGTTGATCATGGGTCATTTGCTCATCGATGAGCGTTTGAAACATTTGTTCTGCTGGTTCGGAATCGCGTAATGGCTTCATTATGTTCAATAAAGATCGATTCACTGTGTTATCAGTCCAAAGACGTCGTTCGAATATGGGGAACGGTTCGAGCGGCTGAAGTTGCTGATATAACCGTGAAATTGTCGTTAGAAAACGTAAACAAGACGCTGCATCGCCCAAAACATGTGCCCAACTAATGCCCATGACAAATTCATCGCTTTTTACGAGTCGAGTAAATTTAAAGCGAACAAGTGGTTCCTCCGATGAACCACACAACAGTTTGTGAATAGGAACTTCGTCAATAAACGGTTCCAATGTATGATAACGCAGGTCCACTAGAACTTTGGAGTCAAATGGCCATTTGAGTAGATCATTATTCTCGACCACTGAGACAGGGATAGGATTGTCAGACATTTCGATAACATAGCGATCACCTTCTAATAAAAGAAAACGACCAGCAATAAATGGCCACAAGCAGAGAGTACGACCGAGTGCTTCTATGAATCGATTGACATTTAAATTGGCTGGATAAACAAATACGTTGTCTATACGGTCCATAATCCAAAGATCGGTACCGGAAAGTTCGATACGACGTTGCTTTTCTGTCTGAGTCGATGCCAAAACAAGAAACGAGGATGTCATGCTTACAATTGAAATTTCAGTAGACGATTGTTATCCGAAATGAATCGCAGTGTAACGAGTAGGAGGAGAACCTTATGATTTGAATTCAACAATAAGTTTATGTAGTTATATCAGCAAATTTATTTCGGTTATAATGATGGTACTGATAGATAAGCATAATATGCACGCAAGAGTATGTCTTTAGTAGATGTTTAGACCTGTGCGTGTTAACAACACAGACTGGTAAATACTTCTTCTTTACTTTCTTCACGCGCTCTAAAAAAGTTAAGATACATGAAGTACATAAAGAAGACCATTCAATCATTTAGACAAGATACTTTGAACTTTTTCCGACTGGTTGATATATCTTTAACTTAGGCACTTCCGCTGTCAATGGATAGTCAATTTTAGATACTGATGTGTCTTATTCTCTGCTGATCGAACCATCGCTTTTAGATACTTCAGCTACTCTATGACTTACTAATTCTCCAATAGATACGCTTCAATATGAACATTCAGTATAAAGGAAATTATTTTCATAAACCTCACTTTTTTCGATTTTAACTTAACATTTAAAAAAATTTAACAATTTTTCTGTCAATTTTTGTCTAATTGTTGAGTTATTTTTGAAAAGAAGTAAAACCTATGAGAAAAAACCTATCCTATCGGAAATATTTTCCTTAATACTTAGTTTTCATGTTGAGTGTGTCTATTCTAGAATTCGTAAGTCATAGATTAACTCAGGTGTCTGAAGAATCGAACTCTAGACAATGCTGCAAGTGGAAATAAAAATACCATTTACCAGAAAGAAGTTTCTTACAACATTTAAGTGAAAAGTCAGATAATCATTTCAAGGCCATATCATTCTCTATTGCATGTGTGAACAAGTTGCTTTGGTCAACCTAACCTAAATAACACCCGAATTATATTTTTCTCTAAAATATTCTTTAAGAAAATTATAGTTATGAAATATACTTTCACGAAGGTGCAAAATATTTTATTAAAAATGAATGAAACAGAAGCTCTTTAGCTTCATTTATATATTTATAAATCCATTTCACATATCGTAAATGACTAGATAAATACAAGAAAAAGCAAAAACTTGAATACGCAAAACAATGGCATAAAAAGAAAAAAATTAGTATGATTAGAGCGATATTATAATGTCGTTCATTTCTTTTTACATTTTTTGATCAACAGGGCCAGTGATTTTTGAGTAGAGTGTGGGTATGGTGAGTTTGAATGTCACTTCCCTATTTATCCACACTCAGAAACTTATGAGATGATTACTTGTTCTCCATTTTCTCTAGTCAATTCTAGGGTTGATCTTAATATCTAAAGCTTTAGTTACCCAATAATCTTGTTCGTGAGGTATTTTAAATATGACATTTGAGTTTCTCAGTATAAAAAGAAGAGACATATAATCTTCTACCTATAGAGTATTTATTGCTTTACTGTTATACTATCATGTATTGTAAATGACATTTGAGATCTCCGCTTCCTAATATCTAACAAAGAAGAAATGAATATTGACATTTTTCAACGAGGTACAATATTTAAAGTATGAAATCAACAGATACAGTAAATGAGATTAGATCTCGATTATCGAAAGAATGAATAGAAAAAACTATAGACAAACTCAAAACACAATCTTGTCTTGAAAGGAGACTTTATAAAGGTCAATCAATGAAGTTATACGAAAAAAAAAATTTTTGGGTATTAGATTTTGATACACCCTGAACATTTACCATATTCTTCGTTTATAGAAAATGTTTCAAATTGTTAAAATGTTTGATTAGTCGCCAAAAATGCGTTAAAACTGAAATTTTTGATAAAGGACGGGGGTGCATAACATCACAAATCGACTCACTAAGAATTTCTACATAAAAGCTATTCAGATATGGATAAAAACTTGTGATGAGTTATTTGATGATGTTTTTCAAATAAAACGAAAATGATTTAGTTCTTTCTGGGTCGTTACACGATCACTATATCACTCCTATAAAAATCGTAGTGAAATGATTTTTATTCATTCACTGAAATGAACTCATTAGACTGTGCTAATATATGGTGTCGGAGATCGCGTATACGTCATTAGAAAGATCACACAAAACTGCACAAGTCTATACATGGACCATGAAAATATCACATCTCTTTGAGAAATTTTTCTGGTCATTTTTCAGACATATAATGCGCCCATATGAAATGCAAGATAAATTCTAGCACATATATTTATTTTCACATATTAGTGTCGCAACTAATTAGTTGAAACAAAAAAACAATAAATAAATAAACATATATCTAAACTAAAAACAAAGATACTCAGGGTGTGGGTGTGCGAATGGGATGTTGATAAAGAGCAGACTCAAAGCCACACCCACAGTTCATACCCTATTTACAGATATTTTGATGGAACTTTGTTATTTTCAATACCAGATCTCTATTTAGGATGTTTTGTAATCGACACCTTATTACAATCAACTCTCGAAATGTTTTTACAATCAAACATGTATTAATAAATGACGATCATACTTGATATCTAATTTATCTATGAATGGAACAGCGCTTGATTTATCTTTACCAAGTCGTCTTTCTGAAAAGTCAGCAATACAAGAACTTATTAATGGATTAATGATTGAACAATGGAGTTTATCTATGATATATGAAAGGTATTATAATGCATGTCAACCAATAAAATGTACTTATAGTTATGCAACAAAAAATGATCTACTTTATATTCTTACCACATTATTAGGGCTAGTTGATGGCATGATGACAATTTTGAAACTTGTTGTACCACTATTTGTTAAAATTGTGAGAAGAAATAAAAGTATAACAACTGAAAGAACAGGAAAGATGATTTTTCTTTGGTTTACTGAGAATCATGATAGATAAATTAAGTATTATCATTATTTTGAGGATGGATAATACCATAGAGAATTTGTAACTAATCTCAACTTCTTCGAAAGATTCATTAAGTGTTAGTGTGATGTATTCAGATAGTTAATTCTATGCGTTCAGTAACAGAGTTTATAAACTTCTTGTAGTTTATCTTATGAACATCAATATTTCTTCAAATATACGTATATGTCGTATCGTCTAGTGCTCTTCTTGTATTACATTTTGTTAGAACTGAGTCAGAACTAGGACGAGTACTTTTGTTAAAATTCAAGTATTTCTATTATACAAGACAAATATTCATCGTAGCTCTGCGCCGTGTTTTCTTGAACACTAAAATTATTAAACTATGAACTGATATAAGACAGGTTGTTACTATCGCAAGCTCTTTTAATATATATTTTGTTCTTTCGACAATGTAGTTTCACTCATTTCCTTTATTACACAATCGAACATTCAAGTCTTTGTCTACATAAAAAAAATTATTCTAATTTTCTAATTCAACAGCCAAACTATATTTCAATCTCTTAATTCATTTTGTAAATTAATTAATAAAACAATATCTCAAAGTTTAAATCGATTCTATTCAACTTAACATATAAGTGCTACAATTACATCTAAACAATTATTTCAATTACAAACATAATCTATGTTTGAACAATTTATTTCTTCAACAACAAAATATTTATTATTATCATTACATATTATACGTGATACAAATCAAGCTAATGATTTATGGAGTATAGCAGGTGTAGAATATTGTTTATGTAAACAAATCAATTATGACAATTTTCTCTTAATTGTTCGTGATTATTTTGGTGGTAGTTGTGATTATTCAGCTAAATGTATTCGACAATCATCTATTTACAGATATTCTCATGGAACTTTGCTATTTTCAATACCAAGTCTCTATTTAGAATGTTTTGCAATCGAAGCATTATTACAATAAAATCTTGAATGTTTTTATAATCAATTAATCGCAAACCTATTTAACACATTATCCTTTTATGAATATAACAGCATTGGATTCATCTTTACTGAGTCGTTTTTTTTAAATTCAATAATACAAGAACTTGTTAATGAATTAATGATTGAAAAATGGAATTTATCTATGATGTATGAGCGTTATTATACTAAATATCAACCAATACAATGTACTTACAGTTATACAACTAGAAATAATCTAATCTAATCTATATTGTTACTACATTGTGTGGTCTAGCTAGTGGTTTGGTAACAATTCTGATATTTACTGTATCATTATTGATAAAATCGGGTAAGATTATATAAAATAATTGAGCTATAGTAAATTCTGAAGCTTATCTACTGAATTTTCCATCTTTTTCATTAAGAGATAAATGCTATTTGAGCTTTATTTAGGTCTTGTTTCTCTTCTCCTACGTATGGCTTTTTCACTTCAGAAGATCTAGTTGGGTTGAAATTTTACTGTAAGAATGTTTTTCTCATAAAAAGTTCAGTTGAATACGTCGAACTTGATCAAAATTTTGACTTACTCATACCTTATTGATGCCCTCTAGAACAGTTACACGAACAGAATTTCGAAATTGTTTTCTATTTATTTTCTATCCACTTTTTGTTTTAATTTAAAATAAATTTACAAAAAGACTAGCGTCTTGCAAGAGTATAATTGTTCTTACTTGAATCCCACCATCTTATATTCGAGTATGGTTAGTAGTATCCGGTATCGAATAAATTTTAGCAGTCATAAAAACTTTTATATGATATTCGAAAATATTCGATTTATAGTTAAATGACTAAATAACAAGAAACCGAATGAATGAAATAATTTATTATACAGTTGATTACTTCTTTGTTCTAGAATTCTGTCAGTATATTACTGAATAAAAACAATATCACATCTACACATGATAAACATGTATAAATATACATACATAACTAGCTTTTTTTCTCATAATGAGAATGCATGTTCACTCTTCAACTAAATAACTTTATTTTTCATGTACTAGTTCAGCTCATCTTACAATTTATCATCATTATACATATCAAAAACAATCTCTTCTATTAACTATGCTGATTATTCTTTAGTATACTAATCTGTTAAGATATGATCAAATTGCCTCTCATTTCAATACTTATCAATAAATACTAAATATCATTGGAACAGTTGAAAACAAGTTGGAGACTTAAGAGGGAGGGTAGGGGTAAACTTTCAATGAAAACGAAATTTGTTCGAGCAATTTGAAAGACGTTTAGTTGAGTCAGCTGTCGATACTGATTCCAAATACGGCAGTTTTTTTACTAGATAAAAAATTAATCTGACAAGAATCGGTAAATATCAATCAAAGGCTAGTCATATATTTTCCCAAACAAATTATACATATTCTTGCAACTTGTTTTATATATTGCACTAGCTCTGAGACTTAGGTGATACGTTCACTTTTGTTTTCTGAGATATTAGACTCTCAAGATCAACTGGTAGTTGAAAATTCATCGATTTCAATCGCTTAAGCGTTCCTATTCATTTATTCTTGATTCGACAAAAGATCATTTATTTGATCTTTTGATGTCAATATGCAACTCAAATTATGTTCTATTGATCGTAGTAAGACTGGATTCATCGGTTTCTGACTCCATCTCAGAAAAAGCATTTATCATCTGCAAAAACATTTGTACACGGTTAAGATTCTCCAACTTAAGTACTACAAAGCTTGGTAGTTTTTATGTTTCTTTCTTGAAGAAAGTCAAGTCGACAAAAAAATTAGCTTGAAATTCTCTATCTTTAAACATAAGAGGGGTTTTTTTAATGATTAAGAAACGAAAGAAAACTGCACTGAGATTTAGTACAATTACTCATAGGATATCTTTTAGAAGATGAAATGAATGTAAACTATAGCTCAATATACACTATTTAAAGTAATTATTATTCTATTCATTTATTACAGAAAATAACATTGGTCGACCTTCTGTTCGATTTTGTCAAAACTTAAATGTATTTTCTCATCAATAACACCTTCAACCAATGAGTTTGATCTTCGCAATGAACGAATATCAACAAGATTATTTATTTTACTTTTATTTCTCTCAGCAACTACTCTTATCATATATATTTCGTTAGTTAATGTCACAAAGATTGTTAACGTTAGTCTACTTTCATTCAAAAAAGATTCACAATTATATTTAACATGTTCATGTACAACAATATCTATTGAATGCAAAAAAAATTCTTTATATCAATTATATATTTCATCAATTATGTAATAGCATTTATATAACTCATAATTGGAGAGAATATCTTACATTATCTTGTCCAAATATGACATTATATTTTTGTGACTTTCGAGCACCACGTAAATTCTTATTTGAAGCATTTTAAAAGTACATTTTGTGAATTAACGAGTAGAACAGAATTTGAAAGTTTAACTCGATTCTATTCAAACTGATATATTAGTACGACAATTACTTCATCACAAACAGTTCATTTTAAAATTTAATCGGTATTTGAACAATTTATTTCTTCGACAACGGCTGATTTCTTATTATCATTACAAATTATAAGAAATATAACATAAACTAATGCTTTTTTCTCAGGACGTTGGACAAATCATGATTTATATCCAACATCTTCTCCTAGACTATCTAAGATGGAAATTTTAGCNTTCGATGAAAATGTAATGAAACGTAAGAAAGTCTATTATGTTTTGAACTATATATCTGAAGTTCCTCTATCTAAATCAAAGGTCATAATCGAAACTTCACGTGTATTGTATGTCATTTTCATGCATTCTTTTCTATATTTTTCAAAAATGATCAGTTTTAAAAGAATTTCGTCTGATACATTATCAGAGAAAAAGACGCCTTAACTCCTCCTCTTTCGATTGATGAAAGCTACAGGTCTCTAGCTGTTTGCGTTCTCGAGTTATTCAAAAAACAGTCACACGCACGGACTTTTTGGACGGGCTATAGTTTTCTGAACTATCAAAAGTTTCCCAAAATCGTTTTGAATCTGTTCAAATCATAGAGAATATAGAGTTGTCTACAAGACAATAATCTTTGTTGTTTTTCAAAAATTGAATTTTAAGTAAAATAACATCGTCTCGAATATTTTCACATTGAAATATTAATATGTGTCTATTGTATGAATTAAAATGACTGTATTTTTTGTAAAAAGAAAACATTTGAAACAAAAAGTTATTGCTTCCAAAATAATCCGATATGCTCTATACCTTAGGCAAACCAAAAGCAATTTTTCGTGAAAAGTTTGTTAATCTGGAAAATCACCACATGAACACGTAAGGAGATTTTCTAATGGTCGTATTCAAAACCAACATTCTTGATAGTCCATAGTACAACAGCTTTTGGCAAAAAAGTGATTGATTTGTTGAAAAACTTTTCTTGTCAGCTAGAAATATATCGGAAGTAAACCTTTGGAGTTTTCAACTATGCTGTTCGTAACTGTATCCTTTTTCTATTGCAAGATTTAATCAACTTACGATAGAAGAATTCATTTCTTGAATAAGATTGTAGTGCTAATCAGATCTGTTTGAAATACTTTATCTTGAATCTAGCGGCGAAGCCAGAACACTAGTGCTCCTCTCTTGTTCTGGAAAGGGTAGAGGAGAATATAGCTACTTTATTGACACTATGTATTCTTGATAACACGATTCACTTAGAAAGGTTGTCTTCTGCGACTGCTCGACTAAAGCAGTAGAAACACTAGTTAGATCATACATTATTTGATAAAATCAAATTCTCAAAATATGAACAATCTCATTCATAGTAATGGTGACTCTTGTTTTATTTGAAAAAAAGTTTATTTTTTATTATTCATATGATCGTCTTCTCAAATTTCAGTGCATCGTAATGTTAATGTTTATTATTATCAACAATGGCAATAATTTATTTTGTATAGCCATTATACATTTGACAACAAAATTGTTCATTCTATTTTATTTTTATTTAAATAAAATAAATAATCTCTTCATTGTTTTGAACAAAATATTTGATTGATAAATAAATATAGAGAAAGAAGAGATTCATTTGATTGAAATGCTATGGCTAAATCCTATTCATGCAAAAGAAAAATCATGGATCAAAAAAACCCCACGCGAGAATATGTATAATCAGGATATTTTGCATATATCGGCATTTGTACCCGAATTTAAATCAATATTATCAACTTTTTGTATATTTGCATTAAATAAATAGTTGATAATAACTCGAACCATATAACCTGTTGAGCCACCAACAAGTTGCATTGGTAGATTATAGAAATCTTTCAATGAATCTGTTGAATTTGTTTGTTGTTGATATAAATTAACAGCTTCATGTATTAAATAATCTGCGTCAAGTGTTTGAGTAAAACGTAATTCAGCATTACGTTTCAATAAAACATTTATTAATTCAAACATCTAAAACATATTATTAATTATAGAAAAAAATTAAAAAGAAAAACATAAAATATTTGATTTACTTCGACAACAAGACATCGATAAGCTGGATCAGATATTCGACTAAGCATTTCTTCAATTTTTAATGAAAAATTTAATTCATAATCAGTCATATCAGATAATGTTGGTTGCTAAAAAACCGAACATTCATATTTATCTTTTTGTTTCTATAATGCATAAAAATTTACTTGTGGAAGAAAAACACCACATAATTTTATTCCACCAGGTGTTCGTTCAAGTATTGACCAAACATGTTCAAAAAAATCAGATGGAACACGGCATAATGCTCCATCCATTTGACGTTTTTGAAAAGATGAACTAATTTAAAATAAAAATAAATTTATTTATCAAGAACAAAAAAAAGACAAATTTATTTACCTTTGGTCAATATCAGCAGCTTGTATTGGTGCTTGTTGTAAATCAGTTGTTAAAACAAAATAAAGTAATTGTTTAATTTCATTTGGTGATAATGTATTTAATGTCTTTTCAAAATATTATATAAAAAGAAATTAATAAACAATAGAAAAAAATAAATATTTACCACAACATCTTCAACATCACCTTTCAAATGTTCTAAACTGAGTTTCATTGCTTGAAGAACCCATCTATTGAATAACATAAGATAATAAAAGTTAGTTTAAATCATCTCATGATCATTCATGTGATTCGATAATAGCTTCTGCGTACTATATTCAACGATAGATTTATAAAAAGTACTTTTGGGCTGAAGAATTAGATACATTTTATGGAAAGAAATAGATTGATATCAGTTCGGATCGCATTATAATCATGTTCTAACTTGAGCATCATATTATTATATAGTTTTCGAAACAGTCTTATTTTATAGTGAACCATATTTCGCTTCAAACTGTGGCAGCTAAATGTTTTTTTCACGTATTTCTTTCTTCAACAATATTCGATTCTATAACCGAGACCAAAAAGACAAGAAATTTTCAACAATAAAATATCTTCATGTCTGATAGTTGCTCATGTGATTATTATTCATCGTCAAGTAGAACAGAATTTCTTTATATGAAAATCATGTTGAATCAAGAAACTAAGAACTGTTGTATTAGGATTTATTTTTTGTATAGATGCTTTAAATTAATGAATATCCCATAATATAAATATTCTATTTTTGCTTTCTGTCTTTATGACATTTAAGAAGTGTTTTAGATTTTAGTACTAATCGTACTGGATAGAGAATTTCATTCTATACAACATTGATGATTTTATTTTTGTCAATAGATTTTTCAAATCAGCGTAAATTTCGTGAGATTATCAACAAAATGATGCACATGTTTACTGCAACAACTGAAACATTTATTCTATCTTGGATCCATCGAAAGCCATAATTTGAATTAGTTCGGAAGGGATTATTTTCGTTGTTTAGACATTTTCTATTTCGAAAACATGCTTTCTCAAGTATTTATTCTAAAACTTTGAATACTCCAACAAAAGATGTAGAATGTCGTATAGAGTATACCAGCATATTTCAAATTTCAATAGATCTATCTCTGAAACAACTGTATAACTTTCTCGTTTGTTTGCCTTTTGCATTGATACGATTGAGTAGATGTTAATCAAATTAACTTAACTTCATAGAATTTTAAACGATTGTTAACTGTCTAAAAAGTTAAAAATAAAAGTAAACTATTTATTATGAAACACCCGTTATTAGTCTGTGTGTAAGTAAAACTATGAATGTCATCTGAAAGCTATTCTTTAGGAAAATATACTACATATTTTACCCAAAAAATCTTTCGATCTGTCTACTGTTTTTCTTACCCGAGTCGTAATTTGAGGATACCATTAAACAGTTGCTAAAAAAAAATTCAAAGTTTTTTCTTCAAATGACATACAATTTTCAATTAACCGGAAATGTAGACATGAAAAGTGCAACATCAATAAGTATTTCTTGTAATAAAACAGCATGAAATATACTATGACCAAATATATTCTCACTGTAAAGTATCTTGAATATTTCATTAGGACGCATCTACAATAAAAGATAAAATAAAACTGAAATACAAAAAAGAAGTCATCAATTAATATTTTTTACATACAGGTCTATCAATAACTGCTTCTTCATGACCAAAAATTCCAAGAGTAACCTTAAGTAATATAGAAAAATCAAATTAATAACTAATAAATCTCATATGAAAACTTACTGTTTTTCCTCGTACAAGTAATTGTGTTACTGATGGAGCTAAACTATCAACGATTTTATGTAAAAGACTAGATACAAAACGAATAACAGCCCTAAAAACGAAGTCATTTTTTTTGTTTTAGTTTTAACTTCATTTTTATATAAATATGTTTTTTTTTACCAATGTTGCCATGTTGCTGCTTCTTTTATTAAATGTTCGAGATGATTTCTAACACGATAATTGTCTCGAATCATCCAATCAAGACCACCACGTTTATATAATTCATATGTAGCTAGTGCATGTTTTCTTAATGAACCTAATGATGTATCTGTATTACCAATAAATTCACGTAATTCTTCGTCATGTCGATTTTTAAATTCCTAAATAGATTTTAAAAAAAGCTTTCAACAGAATATAGGCAGAATTAAAACATTAATAGTTTTGCACTATTTGTTAAATACGCGAAAAGCGCAAGAATTAGACGGAGAGATGAACAGAGAATGTAAAAAACAAAATGTCGATTAGGATAATGTGTCTAGTGACCTAACTAGAATTTTGACAGTGAAATGCTTAACATAACTGGACTTTCTAATGTAGGGAAGGACCTAGAAGAATACAGAAAAGCATCGAAAGGAATATGTAGAAATGCAAATAGTAAAAGACAAAATATCAGAAAAGAAAAACGCAGAATGGAAAAGATATCTTCAGAATGCTTAATTTTACTTTTTCAATTGTGATTGACTGCTATCAGAATGATTTAATTTCATCGTGTTCATCATCTATATAGTTAGTCATTGTGAATGTAGACTGTACAAAAAAGGATAGTAACAATAGTGAATACCTTCTCCACTCTTTTCTGTATTTTTCACCAAACCTAATAAAACAAATGAAAAACCATACACATACATGATTGTTATAATCAATATCTTCAACCACAATAGGCATTTTTGATACATCTGTTAGTGATTTATAACGACCGACTTCAGTTGTATTTTTATGTTCATGAACAGCAACTGATTGCCATTCCAAAGTTGTACATAATGAATAATTTAAAAAGTCTAAATGTTCGACGCAAGCACTTGATATTGCAGTCTAAACAAAAGGTTATTTTGCTTTTTTTTGTGATTATTATTACTTAATAACATACCTGTAGACGTTCTAGTCGAACATATATATTTGATGAAATTTTGCCTTGACGAATTTGTGTTAATAATTCAAGAAGATCTGATTTTTGTGGACCTCTAAAACACATGTTAATAAGAAAAAAAACCAAATACGAGAAATGAAAAATTTATACCGAAGATGGCGTTCACGTAACATTACCAGATATATTGGACGACCTTTGAGACGCCAACATTTAGTTATAAATTCAAAATCAGTCTAAATAAATAAAGAAAAATAATGTCTATCAATGATTTTGTTAGAAAAGGTCGATATCTTAATGCAAAAAGCAAATATCTGAATTCAACTGCACTTGAACAACAGTTCCCTATGATTCTTGACATTCATAAAATCTCTTTCAAAATATTAACATTACAAATGCTGAACAAAATGCTTACTCGAATATTATCTAATAATAAAGCCATGTCACTTGACATATAAAAATCATTCGTTTCAAATGTTAATGGATAACATAAAACAGTTTTTGAACAAATTCTATAGACCTAAAATAAAACATTTGTTTTGAACAAAACTTTTAATTCTAAAAATTAATATTTTTACTTTACATGTACCCAATACACCAATAGGTCGATCTGGACGTCCACTAAAACCAAGTTTTTTATTTACACCTAAATTTGCATATGCCTGAAACATACAATAAAATAATTCTTTTACAAAAAGAAAAGAAAATTAAAGATCATACTTTAACTAATTCTGCTGGTGGCCAAATTAAAAGTGGTTCAACTTGTTTTGGTGTTTGTGTTTGAATACCATATGTTGCTAATACTTGTTGTAAACGAACAGTTTCTGATATGGCAACAACTTGAATAATTAAATCGGAGAACGTAACCTAATAATAATAAAAAATTAGTGTTTTATTTTTCTTTTGTATCTAAAAGCTATCGTTTACATTCGCTGGAACAACTACACGTTGTTGTTTTTTTCCTTCAATTGCATCAAATGATGCATTTGATATTCGTTTTGGTATATTTGGAGTATATTGATAGCGTAATGAATCCTAATTAGAATAAAGATAAAAATAAAAATTTTTAAATTAATATTTACTTGTATAGATGAATATCTTGAATTTGGTTTTGGCCGCTCACTAGGTGATAAATATCGTCGAATAGGATCAAGATCACTAATTGTTAGAACTTTATCAACTAAAGAGAAAATGAAATAATCATTAAAAAACTTCATGGGCGTCCTTTTTTTGAACGACACAGATGCTGCAATCCGTATGCATATAAGTTGCATTATAATTCATATATTTTGATCAAATTAGATAACTGTTTTATTTAGTTTTCATTAGAATCTCCCGAGATCCATTATAAACTATCAAGGTCTACCAAAGACAGTCAGTATCTTATAGAATTGACTACCGACTGCTATGATGTACATCAAAGCTAACCAGCCCCTATTATATGCTAACAAAGTATATTATAGACTATTGGAGGGAAAGCAACAATTGGTTGCATGTATAAAAGAAGAATGTTTCCTAATTTATCTCATGGAATGTATTCCGAGATGAGATCACTGGTGAACACTAATTGAATATTGACATTCACATTTTGAATGTGTCAAATTGTTACAAAACGATAAAAAGTATATTTATTATCGCGTAGAGAAAACTGCAGCAGCCACAAGCTCCAAAAGAAGAAAGTGTTGTCATATAAGGCTTCATACTCAATTAGAAGAGTTTTCCTACACATTCATATTTATATTCATACCTAATGTTCCTTGTCCTTGAATTAATTGTTAGTTATTTTCTAGATCTCTCTAAGTTATTTTTCTGTAATGCTAAGAAATTTGTTTTTGTAAATATTAATGACACTACACATTGATATCGTTAAAATACGTATGAGCTTATTTCAAAAAAATCTTACCAAGTAACTGACAAATAATCCAAATAGCTTGACCAAAAAGAAAGAAATTTCCATGAAGAATTTCAGAACTGCATGCAAATGGTAATTGGTGATTAGTGCCACGATCACTACTCTCACTTTGAGCACTACTTTGTTGTTTTGAATGATCAACATAATAATAATGTACCATCATTTCGCCTATATAAAAAAGATAATTTTTATTCATTTAAAATTAATTATAAAATTTAACAAGATTATTCAGGAGATATGGTGCATGTCATGCATATAAATATATATATATATATCATATTAAAAAAAGAAAGAAAGCTCGTCTAACACAAACAAACATTAATCACTAATTCAGTAAAAACATACGACGAACAGTGCTACCTTTAGTTAATGATGGAGTTAAAGGACGAGAGGATGATAAATTTCTGATGTTAGCTAATGGAGAAAAATTTTCAAGCACCATTATATAACTGATAAAATATATGATCATACTAGTGTCTTGTGATGAGTATAAATCTTGTTGTCCTTTAGTACTGGAACGTGACCTTGGTGAATTGGTTTCAGAATAAATAGCAGCAAACGAACTCGTACGACCAGGTACTATGTACAGTGAAGGAAAAAAGTTTAACACACATTTTATGTGTTCTTTTAGATTCTTCCTCAAGAACAACTTATTCAAGAGCTTCAAATAGTGGTCTTTTTTATAGGTCTTAGAGCGGTCTACAAAACGTAGATGCGAACAATGAGTAATGCTTTATGCAAGTGTTATTGCATGTTAAGTTTTAAGAAGAAATTTAGATCATAATTTTCGTTCATTTTTCTGTAGTTTTGCAGTTTATAACTTAAAAGCAGTAAATTCTACACTGAATGATATATAAAACAGCTTTCACGCATCATTGTTCTGAGAACTATCGAAATCACTATTTGTGTCTATTCAATAAGTCGTCCTTGAGAAAGAATTTAAAAACCAAAAAGTGTGCTAACCTTTTTTCTTCCATTTTATAAAGGATAAGTTTTTCAAAATATTTTCTATAATAAAATTATATTGTGTTTTTTTTTTACCTTCAGTTGTTCGTCGTAACAGAGGATTTAATACAGCTAAATATTCATCAACTTGTGCTTGATTATTTTTAAAAATACCTAGACAAACATTGTAAAGATATTGTCATTAGATTAAAATAAAATTCTTTAATCAAGAACATTAAACTGAAAAAAAAGACATTTTTTCATTTATTTACCATCAATAATCATTAATGCAAAGAACACTGGCCATTCACATTCGTTTTTATCGAATTTCTATTAATTATAAAAAGAAAAAGGAAATGTAGAAGTCGATATAGATCATCTAAGAAAATCAAACCTTCATTTCTGTTGGGTCATAAAATCGTTGATCTTTCGATTCTAAATCTGTATATTGACCATCACGTAAAAACCTTTTAAAGCCATGTGTTCCTCGCAATTTTCTAATACATTTTCGAATTGTATTCTGTACAAGTGTTGAATCATGAATAGCAAATGTTGGCCAGCTAACTGTTAATAATAAAGCAGCATCAGAATTCTAAACATCCAAAAAGAACATCTAAACAAAATTTCGATTCCTTTTTCTTGATGTTTACTTTGGATGCTGATTCTCGAGGTAGAAGCATATCAAATGTAGTTCTATTTCGATTATGTGCATCCTAAAAATATTTAATTCTATTCAATTCTGATAATTGATCTATCGATTTCATACCACATCAACATAAACTACCGACCAATTCGCTCCCTTATCACCATATAGATTAAAACCATTCATGGCTTCAAGTGCAGCTTTTGCCATACCAATTGAACTATATTCAAAAACAAATGTAATTTGAATATTTTATTAAATTATTTTTTTTCTTACCTTGCATGAAGTTCACACGAATTCGTATTATATTTACTTCCTCTTGCCCATATTCCATAATCTGGTGTACGATAAGCACGTTCAATAGCAAAAACAAGTTGTTGAACAAAATTTACTTCATCCATAGAAAAAATAATCTTAAATAAATAAACAAGAAAAAAGACAAGACATATACAAATATATTTCATACGTCATCTTTTGTGTTTCTTTTTACCTGAAGATTCGATGTAATCATTTGTACAAGTGTTATCAAAAAAATTGATATAGCACATATTTGTAACTGACCAACTTCATCTGCGCCTTCAACTTCACTACCATCAAAAACATTAAAGCGTGAATGTAATGCATCTTTTGGTGATTGTTCACTTTTAAATACTTCAACCTATACAATATAATTATTTGTATACAACAAAAAAGAAACGACTGATCATTTCTATGTTTACTTTTTTTGCTTGTCTCATCCAACAATTAAGAATACCACGCATGCATTTCACAGCTGCTTGTCCTAATTCATGTGCTCGTCCTTGATCATTGTCAATTTTACAATAACATTGTCGTAATGACCATACAGCAATAGCACAAAAAACATTCTCAACAACATGTCCAACTTTTTTATCTGGTTCAAGATGATTAGGAAAAAGACCAGTTGTTAAACTTTGAAATGCAAGAATTTGACGTTTTACTTTACGATAATAAGTGTCTAATTTTTTTAATATCTGTGTATGTGAATCCGAATAAGTATCTTCTTCATCACCGGCATCCCAAACTTTCTATTAGCAAAAATAAAAAGATATACATATATATAACAATTAAAGATGAAAATAAAATATTATCTTTAATACTTTAGCATCAGACCATGATGGTCGACGACTACGATTTGCACTAGGAATACTACCCGATGACATATATAGATTCCCTATCACAGAACCTGTCATGGATGATTGTCTTTGCATTCTTGACCAACTTTCACTCATTTTGTATTATATCATATCTACAAATATTTTATTAAAGAAGACAACAAGTATTTTTATTTGGTACTGTTTTTTATTAAGATTTCATCCTTTTTATTGTTACTAATTCAATTTTCTGCACCGTGGAGACAACAAAAGTATGCTAGAAAATCACATACATTTAAAAAAATATATATGGCCTAAAATTAGAGAAAGATTATTAAGCTAATTGTTCAGTTGGTTCTGGTGATGGAACAGTACGCATTCGGTTAATAACCCATTCCATTGCTAGACGACCCTAAATATAAATATAATTAATAATTATACAATATTCATATAATATAATACTTTGGTCGCATTTGTGCTTATTGTTTTTGCAACAAGTATTTCAACATAACTAGTCAATGGAACTTTTTCGACATTAATTGTTGCTTCTTGTTTAAGTAATGTTTTTGAACTATCGGTGGGATGTTGGGTATATTCAAGTCGCTCTTCAATGTTAACAAAACGATTTAATGTTAAATTTCTTGTTCGTGCAGTCATAACACGTCGTCGAGCATCAATTGTTGAATGTTCACTTGCATATCCAAGTTCACTCATGTTAAATATTTTATTTAATGATGGTGCAATACCCCAATTGGCTAATAAAAGACGATGTGAATTAATAACACCAAATGAACTAATCGTTCGATTAACAACATCACAACCGATTACACTCGGACTCACTGGATTTGGATATTTATTTAATGCAGCAGCTACTACTGTTGCCCAATCATGACTATTAAATGCAATATGAATCGTTATGAATTATTCGAAATAAAGAAAAAAAAACTCACTCAAATATATGTTGTGATGTCCAAATTTTCATTGTTGTTGTTATTGTTCAAAAACAGGCCAACTATGTTATCTCAAAAAAGAAACTAAAAGTTTATATTTTGAAAATAAAAATAAAATATTTCAGTTCGTTTTGTTTATTTTTTATTTAACATAATCCTAAAGCGCATATAATTCATTCAAACAGAACACATAAGATATAAAATATGAAAGAAATAGTTCAACTAATCTGAATCAGAATCTAGTGCAGCACGTCGTCGATCAAACTAAAATAAAAAGTCATTTTAAATGTGATAATAGTAGAAAATAAAGCATGAACTCAGAAAAACATTCTCGATTCTTATTAACAAGGATAGGGGTGCGTGTTTTGTGTCTCTTTCAAAAATATCGTTCCTGGCGCTTAGGTGTCTAAAAAAAAGTACGTTTTTCAATGATACAAAGTTTTTTAAAGGTCGCCGAATTTCGTAGGAACAACATTTTGAAGGAAAAAAAATTACATGGTACTCAATTTGAGTCCAATCGGATGTACCGTGTGAGAGAAAACGGAGAATACCTGGAAGCTATACTAGCAATAAAAAAGGCAAAATCGAAACATTTTTGGTTTTAACATCCGAAAAGGGAAAGGAATCCTTGAGGTATCGCATATAATTTTACTTCAGATAACGAACAAAAATATTAACATAAGCGAGAGAGAGTATTATGTTTCAGATGATTGTGTAAACTATTTAGGATTTTAGCTCTTACATTGACTTTTGTTGTTTTCTCTGTTGCTTTACTAACTTGTTCTAAAAGTCCAATTAATTGTTCTTCAGTAACCTAAAGAAAATCGTGCATCTATTTATTCAATTGTGATATAATTCTATTACTTTCCCGCCACCAAATGCACCACGTCTAGCATTTTGTATAAGAATATCTTCAACCATACGTCCTTTTTCTGGTTTAGTTAATGAAATTGTATTTAAACGTGCACGTGCTTCTTGTGTTAATAATGAACTTAACATCGTATTACGCATATCTTCTTGTTTTTGTTGTTGTACTTCAGCTGAATTTCGATCATTATGATCAGATCCTGAAGGCCGTTGTTGACCTACTTGTTGTTGTAATTCAGCTAAACGTTTAGCACGAAGTGCATCAAGTTCAGAATCACCCATAGTGTGTAAACAAAGAAAAAAATATCTGAAAATCTAGTTTTCTTAGTTTTAATATTTATGAAGAAAACAAAAAAAAACACAATATTTATACACGAAAAGAAGAAAAAAAGTACATATGTTGTTTTTCTTTTCTTTTTATTGTTGTTCTAATAAATGATTTCGTTCTTCGATTAATTCTTGATAACGTCGTTGAAGTTCACGTTCACGTTCTTCTTGTCGTGCAACATCTTCGGTAAAAGACTAGAAGCAAAAACCACAAATATATAGAAAAAAGGATTTTCGTATAAAGTTAATTTTGAATCTTACTTCAATACGTTTGGGAATAGCTAATATTTCATTTTGACGAAGTAATTCAAATGTTTTACTTTCAACTTGAGTTTGATCAATTTGATCAAATACGTCATTTAATGCTTTAATAAGTGCTTGTCCACGAGACTAAATTAAAAATAATCAAATTAGTTTGAGAAAAATTATGAATATTTTGAATAAACATGTGCTCATTTTACGGTGGAACTATCCAATGTGCTTCATTACTTTTGAGTATATAGAATATAATCTGAAAGTTTGTCTTTAAATAAAATCTTGAAATTAAGATTAGAAAAATTTTACAAGGAACGTCCCCTAATTATTCAATTACTTTTGAGTCAAGACTATGTGCGCTTTTACAAAAATAAACTAAAGGCATGAATCCTTTTCAAGATGATTATAACTCATTTGAATCTACATAATGCATATAGTTTCGATTTAGTCGTTGAAAAATTTCCTTGGTTAGATTTATATTTTGAAACTATATATCATTGATTTCGAGTTGAATAAAATTCTCATTGACAAAATTAGTGATGAACTTACTTGATAACCACCGAGTAATGTTTTAAGTTTTTTCTCAAGTTTTGCTGCTCGTTTTGCTTCAAGTGCCATTAGATTACGATTGAGCTAGAAGATAAATAGTTGATGTTTTGTTTAAATAGAAAATAAATAACGTACTTCAAGTTTTTGTTCAGCTGATTCAATTCGATCCTTTTTACTGGCTGCATTTGCTCGTGTAAAACGAGTTTTTGATGGTAAAAATAAAACTTGTGAATAACATTCATCCCATACTTTCGCATAAACATCAAGATTTATATCACCATGACCCATGGTTTTTTTAACAGCATTCATTTCGGATTCGAGCAATGCACGAGCCTTGAAAAAGAAAAAAGAAATTTTATTAGATTTAAAATTAACAAATTCAATTATATATTTACTGTAGCAAGATCAGCATCTGTAAATTCTTCATATGGATGTGTATCAAGATAAGTGGAAACATCTTTATTACGACTAGTAGAATTATTGGGTGCAGGATTATTTAATGCATCATAATGAAGAAGTACAAGCATTTCTTGTTTTATTAATTCTTCAGCCTAAGAAAAACAATATATATGAGAATTTATGAAATAAAAAAAAAGGAATTATTCTTACTTTTTGCAAATCACTCATGGGACCTTCAACATTTGCTGGACGAAGTATAGTTAGATTAATATCATTCGGACGAGGTAAATTTCGTTGAACAACTTGTGTTTGTCGTTTAAAATGTTCTTGTTCTGCAGAAACAAACAAAAAAGAAACAAGTTTCATATGAAAGAAATAATAAATTATATTTATCATACGTTTGCGTCGTTTTTCTTCACGTTTACGTTGATCAATATCAGCTTGATCTTCATCATTAACATTTATAGTATCCATTTGATCATCATCATTTGTCTGATCAGTTGTATCAGGTAAAACAATTTCATAATCATTTTTTGGCTTTGGTAAACGCGATAAATGATGTCGCAATTGTTGTTTAACTTCACGCTAAAAGAAACAAAATAAAAATATTTCAATTTGGTTTTTTCTTCTTGGGCTAAAAAAGGATCTGATATTTCCTCGTGTGTTATCAATGATTTTTGTTTTCGAGATCAGGACAAATCTCAAATTGTTACTATTGCTCATTTCAGAAAAAAAAAATGGGTCGAGTTAATAACTTCTGTGTTTTTTTGATTCAGTTTGTCTAAGGCTTTGAATTATCAGATGAGCATGAGAGCTGTCAATTGATTTTTTCTTATATTAAAAGGAACCATTTTTCTCCGATACTTTTTTTTTTTATAAATCTAATTAAAATTCGACGCAACTTCATCTTCGCTTTCCAATGATGAAAACCGGAGCGCTCGATCTTGTTTCTGTCAAAAAAAAATGCTCATCAGCCTTTTTTTCTCGAAATGAACATTAATATCAATTTGAGATTTGCCACTCCCTATTTATTTAAAAGATATAATCACATCCATGGTTGCATTCTGATAGATACTACAATTCGTTTAAATACCTATATTAGGTAATTGTAGTCAATGTTAGTATTCTACTTTTTTTTTTATCATGAATATAATAATCGCTTGAGTTTTAATATGAGAACTAAACATTAAATTAATATATATATATATATATACATATTCGTATAACTCACTTGTTTTAATTGATCATCAAATAACATTTCTTCAGTATTAATATTCAATTGATCACGTACAGATGTACTACCAGAATTGAAGTCCGTTGATGGTCCATGTATTGATGGTGTTGTTCCTTCATTTGTTGCATTGACTGGTGTTCGATAAGGTGTATTAAATAAAGTGTTTGGTGTTGACATAACTAAACCACCTGCTGATCTTGCTTTTTCATTACTAACATCCATTAATGGTGTATTTGATCCACCTAATAATGGTGTTTGTACAGTTGATAATATATTAAGATTATGTGCTTGATTAAGTACACTATCTTGTGTTAAAGGTAATTGTGGTGTACGAATTTTATTTAAATCAGGTGTTAAATTATAATCTCCTAGTAATGTTTCTGTAGCTATTGTACCATTTTCTGATACTTGTTGTTTAGCTATTTCTGTAGCCTGTCCTAACTTAACAACTTGCTCTAATTCCATATCACTTATTTGTGGTGCTGGCAAAACTAATTTTGAACGTTTTTTTATTGGTTCAAGACGATTTTCATTCATAATAACAGCTGGTAAATCGTCTTCTTTTTTACGTTTTAATTTCGCATTATCTTTTTTTCTGTCACGTTGTTCATTTTCTTCTTTAGCAGCTAAATTTCTATTATCAACATGTAAACGTTTAAAATCAATTTTTTCCGCATCAAATATTTCACTCGTTGTATCATAAAAACCAATAGCTGGTAATTTTGCAAATGGAATTTCAGCATTATAATCAACACCACGTTTTCTATTAAAATACCGACGTACTTCAATACCAGCTGCACGTAATTCACGACGTTTTTGTAATGATGCTAAACGTCGTGCTTCTTCAAGTTGTTTTTCACGTGCTTTACGTTTGGCTTTTTTACCTTGAGTATTTGCAAGACGAGCACGAGCTAAAAAAAATTCAATAATAAAAATTTATAATAAACAAAAAAATAAAATTTAAATTTTACCTTCAGAAAGCATTTCTAATTCATCTTCATCCATATCAATTGGATCGGGTCTTGCTGGTTTATTTTCTGGATTTGGATCGATTTCACCAGGACGTAATGCACGTGGGTCATCAACTGTTTCATCAAGACCTTCACGACGACGTTGAGCTTGATCACTAAATAAAGAAAATCAATTAGAAATAAAAAAGTATTTGAGTTTTTTTTTGAACATACAGTAAATATTCATAACGTTCAAGACATTGAGCAGCTGTACGTTGAACAATTGGAGCTATTGTTCTCCATTGTGTTGGCATTAACTTTGCCATATGTAATAATTTTTCATCTTCATCACGTGACCATTCAGTTTTTTTAATCGATGGATCTAACCATTCAAACCTATGAATAATGATATAAATCAAATAATTCTCTTTTTGTTGTCAATTCTAATTTACATACCAACGAGCTTTACATTGTTTAGATGATTTTCGATGAAGTAAAGAAGCAATTCGTGACCATTGATTTTTGCCATATTTCATCACCGCTGCTTTGAGGATTTCATCCTAATAAAAACAAGAAACAGTTTAGCAACTTGAAAAAGATTATTTATTTACAAAAAAAGCATAGTTACCTCTGTATTACGCCAAACTCCACCTTTAATTGTTACTCGTACCATGATTGTGAACTTTTTTAAACAATCTGACAATAAAATAAATAATGTCGTAATTAGAAAATGGTCGACCTATCAGTTGCAAAAAAACAAATAAAATGAAATGATGTCTGTATATATGTTTTCGTATTGGATGGAACTTTATCAGGTTATTTGTCGTTTAAAGTTTTTTGTATAGAGGACGCTAGAGAACAATAATTTGTAAAGTTATCCATGGAGTGTAATAGTTGATCATGATAAAGAAATCTGTGATAAAAAAATTTAACTTTATGCAATGAATAAATGTTTAAAATTAAAATCATGAGTAAAATGTAAATATACTACTTTGAAATATCACGTAAGAATAAAATATATTTGTTTTCATATACATAAATAAACGATGCACTTTTATGTTTTTCAATCAAATCTTCATAATATTATCATTTTATCGCAAATTTATACATGCTTTATCACCTAGTGTATATTCAAATTCATTTTATAAATAAACAATATAGGTTTCAATATTATTTCTTCAAAAGTTGCATTTATTTATTGTTATTAATAAACAACTACTTAGTAGTTTAATATAGGATCTCGCAAAATTGTATTTCATTCGTTTATTAATAGAAAAAAGAGAACCAGCCAATTTAGTCTTATTAAGATAGGCAGGCAGGCAGGCAGACTTGTACATCACGAATAGTTTAAAATGAATGTTAGCACTTCATTTATTGATTTTTAGTTCATGTGAAAATGTTTCAACAACAAATAATGGAACCTATAGAACTGACAGTATTGCTCTCGTAAGAAGTTGAACAAATAAGAAAAAAAAAAGTAAACAAGGAGTTTATCTATGTAATAATTTATTATGTGAATCAAATAACACTTTATGCGAGTGTTTCTCATGTTACAGATTAATAAGAAATTTGAGAAGATTTTTTTTTCAATAAATGGATATATAGATCTTTCAAGTTCAAAGATGAACGATGGAAATATTCTTTAATTAATTGAGGTTTTTTTAATATCTTCTATATCATACTGAAATGCAAGTAATTTTTCAAAACATGTTTCAATTTTCATAAAGTCTATGAATATAGAGTTATTTTAATAACTTTCGAAATCAGCTGAAAATAAATACTAAACGAGTTTCATACGATATCAAAAATTTGAATGATGAAATAACAAAATGCACTTGATTTTTCGAATTTCTCTTAGAAATTATTCACTGTTTTACATTTAAATCAGCAAAAAATAGAGGATCTTGAATGCTCTCTCGTAGTAATTAATTGGACAGTATAAAAATTACAAGATAGAGTCATTAATACATGAAATCTTGAAGATTTTTCACAACATCTATTTGCTTGTCTAAGAATTTACTTATTTTCATTCTTATACATCATTCATTATGTATTTTAATTTATCCGACAAGTGAACAACAATTACAAATATATTTTTCAATTATTTTAAATTTAGAAATCTTCTGTAACATATATATATATATATATATATATGTCTATAAGAAAAAAGATTATTTCCTTTTCTATCCTCAAAGGAATCAACGAATGTTTGACAACAAATCGGCTATTAGCTATCTATTCTATAATGAATAGAAAAGAAAGATAACATTATTGATATTTGACTATTGAGAAAAACGAGTGCACATGAAAAAAAATGAAAAAAATTTCTTATTTTCTTTGGTTTAATATTATTATTAGATTGTTTTTTCTTTCTATTGTAATTGACAACAATGTTGCTTGATAGGAACATGCTATTCTCATGAGATTAGTAAAAGAAAAGATGTTGAGCTTTTTTGTTTCTTAGATAGAATATGCATGTCATCGTATTACATCAACAAGAAAAAAAGAAAACAGTAATTGTAACTAACATTGAATTGAAACAAGAACTCTTGAATGTTGTTAGCTAGTTTCTCATGAACATGACATACATAAGATCGACGAAGAAATAGAAAGAAACTCAGACGAAGAAAAAAAAGTAGTCGAATAATCAACCAACAAACGAACACAGACAAATCATTAAAAATACTATTAACTATATAGACAAAAGAAAGTTAGTTCAAAATTTTTTTAATTATGCTCTTGATTACTATACTTATTCTTATGTTATGTTTTATTAATAATATTTATTTATTATCGTGTTTTAAATGTATGACAACAAATTTTCTAAATGATACATGTAGTGATCCATTCAATTCAATAGATAATCGTTATGAACATGAATGTCAAGCAACAATAAAAGGTAAAAATGGTTTATTTCCTGCAAGATTTTGTGTGAAAATTTCCGGTATTATTGTTGATATTGATCGAAAACTTAATCGTTCATTAATTCATAAAAATCTTTATTTACGAACATGTATTACTGAAAATATTATGAGTTCAACACGAGCATCTGATTCAACTGGAAATTTTCGTTTAAAAAATTTTGCTGATATTACGGGTAGTATCAAAATGCAAGGAACCATAACATTATGTACAACAGATGGTTGTAATCATGCTAACTTTCAAACAACTCATATATGGACAATTTTATGTTCATTTTTCTTTTTAATTACGTACAAATAAACTAATTGGTCAGATAAAACTTGTTTTTTTTTTCCGTTCTTTTTTTATATAAGAAAATTAGCTTGACTTAAGAAAAAAAGACCTGACAAGCGGCAGTAGGAGGAAAAAATTTACAGGTAAATACGGGAGAAAAAAAACCTCCGTTTGTTGTCATATCGTTGAGACACACTATTGCTGAGGCAGAAATAGAAAAAAAAATAACGACGATAAAGGTGACGAGAATAAAAAGACGAGAAAAAAACAGAACAGGTTTTATTATTGACATCCTACGTGCGGATGACAAAGTAGTGCACAAATAATGGTGAAAATCATGCACACATGTGTAGGCGAAAGTTATTCTATCCTTATAAATTTTAAGATCCTTACAGTGACCATACTTTTTTCTTTTAGATATTATAACCAATGCAGAATTCTGCACGATTCTATTCTGAATATAATTCTTATCCCATAGAAGATACTTTTCATTCAAATGCACTAGATGCATCGATTGAAAGTGATACTTTTGGACTATCTTCATCCGCTTCAATGAGTACAAATCAAACATCGGCAATATCTCCACCAACATTATCAGGCATGGCTCGATCAAACAAACGCAAAACAACGACTGATACCGATGTAAGTTATTCACCAGCATCAATTTATAGTGATAACAGTAATTATTCTGATGCATCATATCCAACACTTCCTCGTCAATCAACTGATTTTTCTCGAAATTTATCATCTAGTAGACATGGTAAAATTACAACAGCATCAGTTTTAACAACATCAGCTGAAGAAGGAAGCTCAGATGATAATGATGATGATGACGATACCAATGATCTTGCACGTAAACGTGAAAAACATACACAAGTTGAGGCACATCGACGAGCATTAGAAAAAGCACACTTTAGAGAATTGTCAATGTTAATTACAAATCGAAGTGATTCAAAATCAACAAAACTTCATCATCTTGATTTACTTAAAATAGCTGCTGATGAAATATCTAAAATGAATTTACGACATAAAAATGATCCATTACGTCCATCAAATTTAACTGAAAATGAATTAAACTTTTTAACAATTGAAGCAAGTAATTCATTTTTATTTGTAACTACTATTGAGCCACCATCATTTCGTATAATTCACGTTACTGATGCGATAAATCGTATATTAAATGTTACACCTGATCAATGGCTTGGACAAAATTTTCTATCATTTATACATCCTGATGATTTGATACGTTTTCGAAGTCAACTTATGTCATTAAATCAACGTATTGGACTGTCAATTCATCTTGAATGTCGATTAAAACAAGGTAATAATGACACGTATTCATCTGTTATTATTGATGGTATGGCAAAAATAATTGATAATTCTTTAAAACCTGTACAAACAAATGCATCAGGTTTTCTTGCTTTTGTTGGTATATGTCATTTGCCATTAATAACAAAATACAGTGAAACAAATATGTGTCTGTATAAAAATCCTCAATTGTGCACATTTCGTTGTCGTTGTTCACCAAATGATTGGAAAATTTTTCTTGTTGATCGTTCAGTATCAACATTACCATCTATATCATATGATTTATTTCGTCAAAAATCTGTATTAGATTTTATACATACCAATGAACAAGCACTTGTACATCAAGCTTTATTACGTTCAATAACAGCATCAACCAATGAAACGGTAACATGTCATTTTATACATCCAACTTTACAAACTTCAATACCAATGACACTTGAAATCAAATCATTTTTTAATACAATTACTCATCAAGCTAATTTTATTGAATTAACATTTAAGAATTCACTGGATGCAAAATTAGAAGCATCAATATTTGATTTTATCGATGAGGAACAAGAAATCGATAAATTATTGGAATCAGATTCATCAGTATCAACTCAACAAACAATTGAAGGACAACTTCATAATAATCCAACAACTCAAACTACACCTTATTATTTTTCAAATGGATGGACAACAAAAAATGAATTATATTAAAATTACAAAGAAAAAATATGAAGCCACTTCAGTGTTCCATTTTATGTTGTATACCATCGAACTCTAACAATGCATCGGTAGTTTCTTATTATAAGTTGAATAAAAAAAAATTCAAACTATGCATTTTAAATAAAACGTGAAAAAAGAAGCTTTTTGTTTACTGTTATCTAATGTTGTGATGTAAAAAAAAAAATAAATAATCTAGTCATTTCATTGTATGAAAAATCGAAAATATAATGATTTTCTTGTTAGTATTTCAAAACACACTATATTTATTAGAATAAATTTCATGGATTAATTATCAAACTTAATCGAGTATAAATAAGTAGTTTCCCTGTGAGTTATAACAAAAGAAATTATTTAATAGAAATATTATGCGCAAAAAACAATTGTTACTATTTTCCATTTAATCATTTCACCTTCTTTCGTATCCAACGGATCGAAAAATCGCTTACGCGTGAACAGTTAACAATAAATCTTTTGTACTAAAAGACAATATAAAACATACCTCTCTTTAGTTTTCATGAACGATAATATTAGTGAATTTTTTCACTTTGGATAAATTTCGGGATAGTTTTTAGAAATTTGGGATTCCAAAAGTAGTTAAAGTTTAAATGATAGTCTCTTGATATATTCTCCTGTATGAAGTCTCCACTAATACTTTAAATTGCTGATGGGTCATGAAATGATATTCGATTGATCATTCATTTTAAAGCAAAACTAGTCAACAATTATCTTTAACAAACAGTACTGTTATAGAAGAGTTTTCAGATGCATTTTCTTATTCTTATTCATGTTTCGAAATGTTGCGGAGCTCTATTCTTCTTAATATGATTCAATTACGATTGTTTCAGCAAATTTATTCACTGTTGCAAGTAGGACTATTTTTTCTTCTTTTCTATGAATTTAACTCAGGAAAAATGCTTTGATACAACTGTATTCTCTGATGGTGATAATATCAAACATAAATTTTGTTTTTAAGCACTTGAAATCAATAATGGAATATCAAATAAATTATGTTATTTGGATTTATACAGTGCGCCTCAATTGGTTTTCCCCTCTTGATATTTTTTTGTTTTTATTGCTATACTTCTTTTATTTATTAACCTATTATATATAGGAAGAAAGCCCGAAATAAGCTGCATCTTTTTGTATATTTACCTTAAACATCAAATGCAAGTTAAAGTCTAAAAGATGTATTAGAAAAAAAAGTGACATTTTTTTCACTACAATACCTGGTGTCCAAAATGTTGTAACAGTTTTTATTTCGCGTAGATCTCGGCTTTGGTAAATGATAATATTTTGAATTTTTTTCCAGAAGATGTGCCGTGAAAAGCTCTACAAAAATTGTATGATCAAATTCCTTTTTGCCTGTTCTGATGGTTTTTCTGATACTCAAAATGAACAACATACATGGCAGTGTCACTTTCCATCATATAGAAAATATTTTGAGGACTTTCCTGATTCGCTATAGGATTTGGTCTATACGTGTTTTGTAGAGCTTTCGACGGCACATCTTTCAAAAACAAATTCAATATTTCACCATTTTCTCAAGTCAAGATATATACAAAATAAAAAGTCTTCCAAACATTTTCAATATGATGGATAGTGGCACTGTCATATGGGTTTTTCATTTTGAGTATAAGAAAAACCATTAGAACAGGCAAAACCGAATTTGATTATACAGCTTTCGTAGAGCTTTTCACGGCGCATCTTCTGGAAAAAATTCAAAATATTATCATTTACCAAAGCCGAGATATACGCGAAATAAAAAATGTTACCGTATTGTGGACACCCTGTAGTGAAAAAAATGTCACTTTTTTTCTAATACATCTTTTAGACTTTAAGTTGCATTTGATGTTAAAGGTAAATATACCAAAAGATGCAGTGTGTTCCGGGCTTTCTTCCTATATATAATAGGTTAATAAATAAAAGAAGTATAGCAACAAAAACAAAAAAATATCAAGAGGGGAAAACCAATTGAGGCGCACTGTAGATAGTTTTCATGCTTTAGCACTCGAGCAAGTTGCATATATATTCAATGATAGTTTATCTAAATAAACAACTACTTGTAGAAAAAAAAATTCGCACGGTGAAATCAAGGATAGAGTAAATGGGCAATTTTAAAAATAGACTTATCTCGATCAGTTTTTAATGCTGAGTCAGAATCGCAAGGGAAAATGCTATCTTAAGAAAACAAATAACGCATTATCCTATGAAAAATAAATAAAATTACGTACATCAATATTGTGTCAAAAATGTGATGTTTTGAGAAAGCAAGCGCAAAAGTGGTCTTTGGAGAGTTTTAAAACGGCCCAAATCTAGCACATTTTGTAGAGCGGAAAATCAGAAAATTTTTCACGAAGTTTCAGTTCGCGCTAATTTTCTTTGCATATGGATCATAGATTACGACTAAACTGAAAAAAATTCAAATTTTAAGAAAAGCAAATTTTTTTAAATTGAGTAAGATCTGTTTTAATCCAGAAAGAAGCAATAAACAGGACATGTTTAGTATCGACTTGTAGTGATAGAGTAACTATGTATAACTATTGGGATATATAAAATGAAAAGCAAACAATATGAAAATAGTTTGATACCACAATCAGATGATCCCTACCCCTACAAGTGGATACTATAGTGGTCAAATTCATCCTGCAATTTTTATACATGGTGCCAATAAAAACTTAAACCAAGTACACGAGCCTATGTAGAAAACTATGCTCTTTCATACTAGCTATGTGAAAAAAAGGTTCAATGAAGAAAAGTTTTTAAGCTTATCCGGCGGTGTTCTTTAGATTTTGAGAGAGGGGTTGAATAGAACCGAATCGAATCGAGTCTAATATAATCTAGCCCACTCGACTGACTTCCAATCTCTTTTTGTAGTCAGATAAATTGAGCCAACTCATTCAAGTGTGTTATAAACTTTACATGTTCGACTGTCTCTAATTGTTCAGCTTATATAGGTCGTATATTATGAAATCTTTTATCATTGAGACTAAATATGTTTTAACCTTTTATTATATTCATTGCTTTCAAACTCATCGACTTTTCAGCAAATAAATAAAATCAAAAGCTGTTAAGGGTTAGCTTTCGTAAAATATGATGATCGGTTCATTATTCTAGTACTGTTTTGTAACGTTCTTTGATTTACATAAAGATACGGTTCTCTTAGCTGATATGTTTATTAAAGTTTAATGACTTAAATTTGCGACATTATTATTATCTTACATATTCACTTTAAGATCACACATATGATAGATCGCCAACTGTTGATATATTTTGGAAGTCTAAGCAAATGGTGACCCTTATTTTTTATTTATCTCTCTACAAAATACTCACGTCAGTGCTCTTTATCTGTTTCTGTAAATTCCACCAATGATACAAGAACTCCATCTATATTATGTTTCGTATTCGAAGCCAATGCGTGATACAATGCCGATTCGTCTAGATTAGAATCCTTATGTTTAAAAGAGAGTAAAACAAATATACTATCTGACTTTAATACCTCACTAAACTGCTCATTTTTTGGATCCATATTGTACACTTTTCTGTCACAACCCATTTCTTGACAAAAATAAAACTTGTAGTTTGACACGCACAACTTGTCCTGAGCAACGAAGAAAAAGCATTTTTTCGAACATACTTTCTTTTGCTTCTTTGTCACGAGACGACGAGTTATTTGCACAGGGTATACTTCAGCGCTTACTTTTATCGGCGCAGAAAAAAAAGAAAACGATATGAAGAATAGTGTACGTTGTTCTTTGTCTGTAGTTGGTTTTTTCCAACTTACAAAAAAAAGCTGATTTAACCTTCTGAGGACGAATTTTTTCCATCGAAAAGTGATTCTTCAATTATTTTCTTTTATTGAACTGAAAATGACAACATAAGATCTTATGGTAATTTAAAAACACAATTATTATCATCTTTTAAATATCTGAAACTCCAGTTACATCTAAATTATCTTTTAATTCGTTATAATCTAAATCAAAGTCACTCTCATTGCTGTCTTCAAAAATATACGCATAAGGAGGGCGTGGATGGGTGAGGGTGCGGGTATGGGGTGTGGGTGTGGGTGGGTGGGGTGTGGGTGTGGCTGTGACTGTGGGTGTGAGTTGTCGATTTACTACACCCACACCCATACCCACACCCACCCACCCACGCACACCCACATCCACACCCACACCCACACCCACACCCACATCCACACCCACACCCTCAGCGATTATTTTTCGTTCAAAGAATTTTCGTAGACACTTTCGTTCCAGATCGAAGCGTATTGTAAACGCAAGCATATTCATCATCACCATGTACGTTCGGGCAACCTTGGTTGTTAAAATGAATCAGAACGAAAGGGAAAAAAAAACATTCACATTTACTTCCTTCAAATTGGATGGTCACGCATCAGAACACAGCGTGAAATAAGGTGCTTTCATTCCCATACACCTTCGAATTGGTATCGCGCGCAAAGCAACATTAATTTTCGGCAAGTAAGAGGTAAGTGAAATGGCTGCCTATAGGCCAACCAGTCATCGCTTGGCTACTGAGACTATTGCCGACGAACCGAGGCACAATCTTCTTCCCATCACAGGCTATGCAACCGAACCTCTACTCACCCTCGAAAAAGCATGTCAGCCATTGATGACACTAATCAATGACTTGCGTAGGTTTGTTTGGATAGCTAAAAGAAATACTCGTTCACCTGCTGATGGCTTATCTCATGACGAATCTGCTGCCATTCATCTCTACACAATGGAATGGACGCCATCTGGCAATAGTCTCTATGCGATACTCAATCGTACGCTTCGTGCTTCCAATCGATCTCAATTGACGATGAAACCATGGTTCAAATATCTTAAATTATTTCTAACTGCATTAGCAAAACTACCTGCATTGTCTTCTTCTTCACAGTCGCGGATTGTTTGGCGTGGAGTGAAACTGAACATTAGTGAACTATATGTAAAAGACTCTTATATTACCTGGTGGTCATTTTCTTCATGCACAAAATCACTTAGTCTACTTGAATCAAATATGTATTTGGGTCAAACAGGTGATCGAACAATATTCAATATTGAAACGATCAATGGGAAAGATATTAGTTCACGTTCATATTTCAGTCAAGAAGGCGAAGTACTATTGATGCCTGGAACCTATATGACAGTGGTATCGAAACTCAAGCCAGCACCTAATCTTTATATGATTCAATTGAAAGAAATAGTACCTCCTTCACCACTTCTCGAGCCGCCATTCTATGGTAAAGCCAATCATTTTTCACATTTAGCCATTCTCTTTCTTTTTTAGGTGCGTTCGACAGAGACGATGATAGTCCTTCACCCATGTAAGTTGATTCTACAGTTTTTTTCGATAAAGATCAGTTCTCTTCCAGTGTCTTGGATGGCACGGTGAGAAAATGGTGTTTGAAAAGGAAAAAATGGATTGCCTTAATATGCTGCTTGAGCTGCTTGGCCGCGATAGTTTATTTTGTGATTATTCCTGTATGGATTATATTTATGACTGCATCTGAGCAGATCAATACAACAAATTCATGTAAGTCAAAATTGTTTCGTGTATAGCGGAAACCACATCAGTTCGAACTTTCTAACTAACAATGTGTTCAAACGGTAAAGACCATTCACATTTGACTCGATAGAATTAAAATATGTGCTAATTAGAAAATTGTTGGAAAAAAGTCTTTTTCTTGACGAATCCAATCGAACTCGAACTGTTTTATCAAATGTAGAGTCGAGCTGAACAGACTCAAAATCAACATAATTCATGAAAATAACTATTGAATCCAGTCAAGTGCAACTATAAACAATCGTTTTAATTGTAAAATTGGTTTTAAGTGAGGTTGGCATAGACAGAGAGATCTGGGACCATAATACTAGGCATGTACCGAGCTTTTTTTCGTTACTTTCAAACACTTTTAGTTCAAAACCTTGAGCTCTTAAGTGAAAAGCTGAATCATGAGGCCCAACTTATCAAAAGATAGACCAAACATCGCCATCCAAAATGCGACANATTCTAAGAGTATGTGAAAAACTGAACAACTTTTGTATAGAACGTTCATTTATGAGTAGCTTAGTTTCGTGTAAAAATGCTAAAATGTGAGTCATCCCTAAAAATTTTGTCCATTTTTTGAAATTCCGTAACGAACGATATTTTTCAAATAATTTCGCTATGGCTTGTGATAACTCCATGAAATTTTCAGTGCTCACAGAGCTAGTTTACCTTTATGTATGCCCAAAATTTCAGAAGCATTTCTCTTGTTATTGAGAAGATATTTATCTCACAAGTTGAAAAAATGAAATTCCGTAACGCTTGGCCGTGCCGTTGAGTAAGTGTCTTTATTCGAAATAAGTCTGCCTATGTTATCTGATATTTTCGCACTATTCATCAAGCTTAATTAGATAGCATATAGCCAGCTATATCATAATGTTCTTACAAATACATATTATGCCAAAGTTGTGAGCATGGTCCCTAATATGTAGGTGTCACTGCAAGCCACGCATGTTTTTATCAATTTTCTGGTGAGTTCAGAAGACTGAATTTCATTCAAAAAAAAATCTAACTTTCTTCTTTTGATAGAAAAAATATGCTAGCAGAAAGCCCATTGCAAGTACTATCAGAATACGTATAAATCTGGAAATCGAATTTTTCTCGAAAAATCGACTTTTCTAACCGGGGGGAGGGAGGCATTAAGTGTTAGTAGGCTCTTAATGATTAATATAAAAAACGCTTTATTCAATGCTGATGCAAATGGCAATGGAGTCTTTCAAAAAATGAAAAAAACGCGAAAATTTCTCGAAAAAAATTGTAGTAGGCCCAAGTTTTCACCGATAAATCCATCAAAATTTGCTCGTTTTTCTAAAACTCATATATATTCTGAAAGAGGAGACTTCCATGCATGTTCCTATGACTAAAACAAAATTGAAGTTATGATCGACTATAATTTTGATTATGTCCATAGTATGTCAATAATCAGGACACAACCTAGGTTCATCTTCTATCTGCTCAATGATTCTGAACCTTCGGTCACAATGCAGCTAGACACTCTCACCTCATGAACGATAACATAGCTACCTGCTCATTCTATCCTCTATTCACTATTTTCTCTCCTATGACTTCTCTCTCCTTCTTCGTTCTCTTTCTTTTATAAGCCTGTGTTCTATGTAAAGCAGACACAACTGAAGTGATGGAGTAATGCAGCGAACATCTATTCTAAGGGTGTCTGTAACGTTACTCCTCCAGTTTTCCAGTATTGATCACAATAAAACACAGATAGCAATAATGACGAAATAGAACATCATCATCTCTCTCAGTCTCTCTCATTTTCGTTACACATAGAATTTCAAATTTTAATCAATTGCAATCACTAAAATTTTTCATTGAACACGATCCAAAAATAAGGTCAGAATCGACTCGGTTTCATTTGTCTAAATCCTTTCTTTTTTTACTCGAACTAATTTTTGAGAGATTTTTTCCAAAAAGACAAAATATATCAATCGATGAAATTTATCTCATCGCTGCACTCTTTGATTGATTTTTATAAAGAAGAGTGAAATGGCTGTCTTTTGTGAGAAATCAGAATGTCTCTTTTATTCTAAAAAGAAGCACTTTTTGTTTTCAGGTTCAAATCTTAGATTTTCACTGAGTACACCAAGATTCAAATAGTTTTTTTTGTGCATCTGTATCATTGAAAAAACTCTATTACAAGTTCTTGAATTCGCTGCTATTTTATCTTCCTAAAAGTAAAAATCGTGCCTAATCCTACTGACACTCTCAGTGAAATATAAACATAGAAAAAGTCACTTTGTTTAGCGTGGTCTGCAGTAAGACTATTTTACGCGTGAGACCTACTTCAATCAAGACAATTGATTGCATCTTCTGAATATCATCAAGTGGAGCTCTCTTAAAATCTCTTCCTGATCATCAAAATGCCGCATGTCGACCTCCCGTCGTTCTTTTCTTATTTGTAGCTACTGTTTGCTTTCAATTCTAGTTTTATTACTAATCTAATAATATTGAAAACTAAATTCACGTACGTGCTAGGTGATACTGGAGTGTACAAATTGTGCTTAGTATGCCTGCAACGTATCTCACTCTGTATTTATCACTGACAATATTGCTTGACTTGTACCAACAAACGTATGTTTACGTGAATCGATGAAGAATGGCTTTTTCATCAGGCAGACAGTTTTTTTCTTTCATGTCTCATTGTCATGTGTATACTATTCTTCATATGCTTTTCCTCTTTTTTTCAGTTAACTTTGCATTTCGTGTTGTTGCAATGAGAAAATAAACACTGATATTTGCATACGCGTAACTTTGAGTTGTAAATATAGTCTTTGATAAACTGAAAGATTAACAAAACTTGTTTTCATCCAATATGATGAAAATTATGATCAAAGCACTCACCTATATATCCATTCAAGACGATGAGCGAATCGATTTGTCAAAAAGACAATCAAAGGCTAGTGGCAACACTCTACATTTCGTCAAAACCGTCTGTTGAAAGGTGATCACATCGCGCTTTTTTTCTTTTTTTTCTTTTCTTCTTTCTGTCAATTAAATAACATACTGAGTTTATCGCCGTTTCTTTTTCTTTTCAGCACACGTTTATTTTATTCTTTTGCGCACAACACATTATAATAGTTATTCGATATTCACACAGAATTTTATGGCTAGCAAACAACGAATTCCTATTGTCGGAGTGATTGGTGGTGATGATCAAAGTGGATGCGCACGTTTGGTTGGTCGTGAGCTGGCCAAAAATGGATGCGTCGTTCTGACTGGCGGCTGTGCTGTGGATAATCGCACCGAAACGAAATATGCAGCCATTATGGGTACTCTCGATGCCGAGCGATGCGGTGAAGGAGTTTCGCGTTACATTGGAATTTTACCAAATACTAGCAAGACCAGTTTCGTTTTCGAATACCTATCTCCAAGACAATTGGTAATACACAGTGGCTTGAGCAGTATGGATCGTGATCCACTTAATGGAATTACACCAGATGTACTTGTATGTTTCGCTGGAGGTCCTGGTACGATATGTGAGCTTGTATTTGGCATCGCCTCTGGACGTGAAGCTATTTTTCATGGTGATTGTGCAAAACTATTGCTCGACAAATGTACTACAGGTAGACAAAGAGCAGAAATAAAACGGGGAATGTTACGAGTTCTTGCAAACTGGCAGCCATATTTGTCATTTCTCGCGGGTGATGGCAATACAATAATTGATATCTTAATAGAATATCTTCGCAAAGCTGTTAGCCGTAAACCATTGATGTTCGCACCAGAGATAGTTCAAGCCGCATTACAAGCTCTACCGAACAAGCTATCTGATGTGCCAGCCTTTCCTGGACTACCTTGTGCACGACGTCGACAGCAGGTGGATGAGTTTACATTGTGGTGGAAATCATTCTCACAGGACTCAACGCATGAAGAAATCCAAAAGAGTTCTGCTACCAGATGAGCTGCAATACATGCAAGTGCAGCATTTACTCATGTCAAAAGATCGACATGAAACGAAAAACTGTCTCATTTGAATTATAGACCATTACCTACAATGAAATTCTGAAATTTGTTTATTGCATGTTTCATAGAATTCAAATGTATGAATGAATAGAAAAATGATTTTCCTATTGCTTTTATCCGCGAATATCAAGTGAAGCAAATACGACGGCTTGTTTTTCTATTTTTTATCGTCTTAATAAATATCAAACATAATTTTTAACTAGTATTTCAATCATGACAACCATCATTACAGCACAGTTAAAACTATCACGGCTACTTAACCTTACTATCCTATGTACATCATAACCATTACCTATTAATAATAGAATTTAATTTATTAAAATGCCAATTTTAGCTTTCCGAATATCTGGGAAAACGACAGCTTCTTTAAATAATTTAATTCAAAGTTGAATTTATTAATTACTATTTTGATGTTTCGATGAACTAAGTTGTCATTGTCGAGAATAAAATGTGCAATTGAGAAACGATACGTTTTTACAAGAAAGAGGGGGAAAACATACAAGTAGTGTTCATATTAACCATTTAGATAATGGAATCTATTTCTTGGTAAGCTGTCCGTGAAAACAATCAATGAAACTGAATGGGTTGGTCAATTGAGTTCTGGCTTTTATGCTTAAATTAATAAGGATTTTTTTTGTCAGCAAACAATATGGATGCTTATTTTGTCAAACAGCACGAAACTCTTTCCGGTTGATGTGGTGTCCACTTTCTTTGTCTCGTGTTGTAAGATGGAGGAGAAGACAGCAGTATTTTCAATTTTGCTGTTGCTATTGTTTAAGTGATTGATTAAATGCAGCCTTTGATGCCCCACGTTTCGTCATATGTTGTATGCATTGTCTTTCTATCTTGCCGATATATGTTTATCTGTAATTATTGCATCTGATGGAGTAGACAACATAGAATTACATATGCTTGACAATCGTATCTTTGTGTTTGGAAAAATCTTTGAACAGATAGTAGTATTCTTGTGAAGAAGCGGATATCAAGGTGAGGGCGATGTTTGCTTGACAGGTGTATACTTTTCTTTTTCATTGCAGATGTTGTTTTTCCACCAAACGGAAGTATGTTGAACAAAGATGATTAGTGCACGTTAGATCATGCTGACAATTCTGACTTTCTGATTTCCTATGGGAACATAAGAATTCGAGCTCGTCACTGCAATTACTGGAGCTAATGGAGCACCCATTACGACACCATTGTGCTGTACATACATTGTGTTGTCGAAGGTAAACTGTGTTTTTGATGTGGCTGCTTGAAGTAGAGTTTTAAAATCAATTCCCTACTTAAATTGATCACATTGTCGTGTTCTTAGTAAATATTGACATGTTGTTGAACATGTCACATACATTTGATCAATAATATAGTCAATATATTGATAAAGAGACTTGCTATATCGAATGAAACTATCATCTTATACATATTTCTAGATCCTTTGATTTTTCAAAGACACAAGAATCTTTGACACCACATGGACTGTTGTGAAGATATGATAAGCGATTAGTTAATGTTTATTCTAAACCATATCCGGTTGTCGTTGTAGATGACATAAATGGTCTTAATGGACAAATAGGGTTGTGCAGCTTTGGTAGCTCATAAAACACGAGCTGGTCTTGATCTTTCAGGTCTTGATAAATTATATTTGTTATTGGTGATGAATCATTTTTTTGTCTATATCTTTTTGCAAATAAATACAATAATGAAAAGGTGTATCATTGCACAGTTCCTGTTTCATACAATTATCTTTGAAATAAATGGAAATCCTTCACTATTTTTTCATCAATATATGTTACCGTCAATTGGTATTACATTTAATTTTACTTTCAATAATTTCCTCAGTACAAGGTATGTGTCTAAAATCTATATTATATAACCAGTTACTGATCAAGATATGAAAACAACCATTGGATATCGTAATTGCCAATCATATGCAGGTGAATTTAGTGGAATATTTTATGCAGTCTCCTATAATAATGGAGTCTATCTTCAAGCATTGACTGATCCACATACATAAGAATGTAATGATGTTTTTGCTGAAGTAATGAATTGTAGGACTTGCACAAATATCGAAATTATAAGATGGAATAGTCAATGTTTACCAATTCAAATTGATTCATCGATTTTTGGCGATATGTCATAATAACATTGAGTGCATTGCAGAATGTGATTTAGCACGTCCAGCTAATATAGAGAGTTGTCTGATGAACAAGTAAAGAATGCGTCTTCTCCGGTAATTCATTGAGTCGATTTAATTTTATTCCTGCCGTCAATTTTTTACATTGGGAATATAAAGAACATAAGCAGTGACTGCTATAGCATTGTACCAATAGACAAAGTTGCTCAAGCTCTGCTCGAGACATTGTTTCGTCTCGATCAAGATATAGTAAAAGTGACGACGACAATGAAAATGAATGAGAATCCAAAAACAGTTCTTATCGAAATTTTATTATTATGATATGAGTTAAAGAGTAATCAAATAGAGCAGAAAAATAGAGTATCGTTGTCTCTACTACTACAAAAAAGGAAAATTTCTTTAAGCTTTCTATACGAAAATAAGGGAAATAACGACACTACTTTTGGATTGTCTTAAGTAATTCACTCAATATTGATTTGACTTAAATTGATCAATGTTTTTTTCTTCATACAAGAGCTTCAATTAATTCTACAACCTTTGCTCTATTGTCTGTTTCTCTCATTTTTTTTGATAATATTTTCAGTTTTTCTGCTAATTCTTCATCAGCCAATAATTTTTCAATTGCATCCAATAGTTCTTCTTCTGAACAATAATAAGTATCCAATCGAATTCCAAATCCTTTTTCTTGTATTCGTTGTGCATTATCAAATTGATCAGCAAAAAGTGGTAAAATAATTAATGGTTTACCAAAGTAAAAATTTTCAGTAATTGTATTATTACCACCATGAGTAATTACTAAATCTACTAGAGGTAAAATTTGTACTTGAGGAACCATTTTTTCACCCCACATGTTATCAGGTAATGAATATTCATCACCTAATGGACCTTTTGAAATAATAAATCGATGAGGTGACTTTTCTAAAATATCTATTAATCGTTTCATTAACAATAGATCTGCTGAACCAAATGAACCCATTGACAAGAAGATTAATTTTCCAGGTTTATTAGCTAATTTTTCTGGTAATCGAAATTCATCATTTGATTCTGATGTTCGTACTAATGCATCACATCTAAACCATTTGGGTGGATTTGGTCGTAAATCAATATAATCAGTTTCTTCTGGATACAAGTAAAGATTTAGATAAGGTGATGCATTTTGAAAAAATGGCCACATTTCTTTAGTCAATGGTGGTGCACCTTGTTCGGTTATCCATTGATTAAATTCTTCCCATTGTGGTTCATAAATTCTTTTAAGTTCTTTTCTAAATTCATCCCATTGACTACGGTCACCGTCAGTTGGATAACCTGAGCCACGAGGTGGACAATTTTCTTCGTTAAGACCCAATGGATTAGCTGACATTAACCAAACCCATGGAACTCCTGCTGTTACTAATGATGGTTGACAAACATAATGATCAACAATAATAATATCAGGTTTTACTTTCTTTACTAAATCACGAAGAAATGGATCATCATTTTTAACCATACTTATAAAATCACGTTGAGAATCATGTTCAAAAATTGCTAATTGATCATAAGAATTTTTTCGTAATTCACTAGCATAATTTTTAATAAAATCTATATGTACTTGTGATGGTTTTGTTTCTTCACCATACAAAACTTCTTCAAAGCCATAAGGTAATAATTTTCCTTGCCAACCTCCTGCTACTCCAAACACAATTCGATGTCCACGTTGTTTCAGTGGTTCAGCTATCCCAATACAAGCATGAACATGACCAAATGCATCAAATGGTGTGAAAAGAATCGTCAATTGTCTTTTTGATGATGATGAGGACGACATTTTTCTATTTATTTGTACTTTTTACTGTTAACTAAAAAGAAATACAGATATTATATTACTAATTAAAAAAAAGTATTTGCTGCCACTGTATCTTGAGAGCAATAAAGTGTAGAGAGGTACTATGTTGTGAGGCTATAGTCCACATTAAATGCTGATCACAGGAGCTTGTCTTGCCATCGCACCACTTTCTGTCATTAAGGGAGACATTCTCAGAAAATAACTTTTTTTATTTTACACCCGTTTTTAATGAAATTTTCAGCAAATGTTCACCCTATTAAGGTGTAGTTATAATTTTTTTTTACCTCCCTACCTCCTAACATTCAGAAGTTTTCTAGAGTCTGGTGATCAAAAATTTGTCGTTTTCCTTGATATACTTCAAGCTAGAAATCTCGAGTCAATTTTATTTTACACTAGACACTTAACTCCAACGACTAATCAGGCCTTTTTTAGTTTTCTCAAGATTCAAGATCTTCCAGAACTCTTAAAAATTCTTTCGTGTTCTTCAAAGCAGTGTCTAACTCGGGTCGGGTCAAATGTCTGAATTTTTTTCAGAAATAAAACTCATTTTAATGTTTTTTATTTCAAAGTCAAGTAGGATTGCAAGAAAGCTCGATACAACGAACAGACACGTATCATATACCCATTCATTGTATTTCACTATTTTCCTTTTATTGATGTTGTACAAAGATGCATAGCCAGTACATAGTATAGTAAAAGTTGATATGGAAGCCATAGAGTGTATCAACAATATAATGAAAAATTAGAAAGAGTATTATCTCTTAATGTTGCTGCGTTAACTATGCAATATTGAGGAAATAAGCTGAACGTTAGAGTCAAGGGTATATCCTTAGTTTTCCACTATGTAATAAAATTAAAAAAAACAGCTAATAAATTCAATTTCTCAGGAAAAGAAGAAAAGTTATCGATACGTGTGCATAGATATGTCAGTATTGAATTCAGGCCTAGTGGAGTTACAAAAAAGTTTATTTGACCTCCAGTCAGATTGGGTCGAGTCGGGTCGAGTCGCAAAAATTTGACCCATATCGAACACTGCTTCAAAGTTTCTTTTCTTATGTGAGAAAACTGTGACTACACTAGAAAATCGGTCAATATGCCCGATCGGCCGGTCAGCCGTTTACATTATAGCTCTTCAGGATTTTCATCGATTGTCAAGAAGCTTTATGAATAGATTCATTTTTAGAATGTTTCGATCGAGTTTAAAGATGGGAAGGAAGGATTGGTAAAATGGTTCTCAAGTTATAAGGGAAATATAGGTACCTTCAGGAAATAAAATGAAATCAATTTTCTAGTGTCAATGATTTATGATTCAACAAATTATGGCTTTTTTTTATGAAAATGTAGCTACTTACATCAATTCCAAACTTCGTTCTCTGTTAATATTTGAAAAGTAGATTGAATGGATTCAGTTTTACGCTTGATTTTGACGATGAATGAATCTGATTTTAAAAGATCTAGATGTGATGTTGCTGATAAATCGACGATATTTCCAAAAGAATATTAATCGATATCAATGTGTATCGTCTAGAAAACAACAAAGAAAATGCACTCGAATTGATAGAAAATTCATTTTATCGAGCAAAGCAAGCAGATCGAAGCGAAGTATTACTGAATAAATAATGCATTACTAAGCAAAAAAAAACATCATCACCACACACTTGTTTACATATCAGAAAATAAATGATGAAGAGAAATGTTTATTCGTTCTTCATTTTATATTGCTCTCAACATCAACACGTCACTATCGATTTTCGCTTTGTCAATAACACCTTTCTAGTAAAGAGAAAAAAACTACACTGAGCGTGTCGCTATTCACCGTTCCCAGATCGAAAGATATAAGTTCAACCCACATAAAAAAAATCACACGAAATCAATTTTCCCGAGTTTCTAGGGAGAATTGTATTTAAACCATAGTGGTGTAATATCAGTTTCATTTTAACGCGTAGCCTAGAATATATGTCAGTCACAGTACATATCAATAGCATCTTCAATTTTTATTGCACCGATTTGAACTTTTTTCAATTGATTAATCGTACGATTTTGTACAAAAAAAAAACCTTCTCAGCAATGTTGCTATGATAAAGTACAATTCATGAATACAAATGAAGACCTTTATGAAGTAGAAATCTGAAATTCTCAAACAGAAATAAAAAAGGCAGAGCAAATCTTTTTCGTATAGTTCTTTTTATAATACAAAATCAAAATAGTTTTTCTATGATTAAAAAATTTGCATGGTGCATCTTTTGAAATTAATAATTCAGTTATATTTGACATTATAGCCTTAAATATGAGAAGGACAGTTTTCTCAGATGTCGGCAAAAAATCGTAACGCGTCACCTCTAATACCGGAAAATCAGAAAAACGAGTTGTAATATAAATATTTCCGTCCTATAGAGCCTAGCTCAAAGTGAGCAAAATCTCTTCTTTGTTCTAAGAATAGGTGGTTTTGCTCACATTTGTCAATCATTAACAAAATTTCGATAGCAAAAAAGAGACCGCACTTTTCTAATTTTTGTCATCGCGTTACGTGAATTAAACCAAAATAACGAGCCAATGAATGATCCTTTTGCAGCATTTTACTTTTTCGTTGAATACTCCGTACTGTCGGCTACAAACTCCTTATGGATCGGTTTTTCCAATGTAGTGCACATTCAGAGACAAACAATGAACAAACACGTCACCCTCAACTTTCTGTCCAATTTTCATCATCGCGTTTCACTTAGTATTTTTGCCAGGAATTTTCAAACGACTAAGTCAAACGAACTCGGGTTTTTAGAAATTACGATAGGGTAGAGAGACGCATTATTCAATGTAAGAATCAAATTTCTAACTGGTCTAGTTTCTAAGAAAAATGGAAAAAACTGTGGACAAAACGTCATCGCGTCACGCTTGTGAAAGCCGATGTATGAAGATTCAGCTATCTTATGCTGTTTTTCTTAAATTAAAACCGTTCAATGAAGAGTGAATTCATAGATACTTTTTGTATTAATTACGAGTTAGTTCCAATATAATGTTAAAAGATTTCAGACGCTGAAAAACCTTTCCTATTAAATGAAATTGTTTTCTGATTATTTTTCGTATTCTATGATAATTCACGAAGAAATATTTTGAACTACGTACTTAGTTTCTAGAACAGAAATTATCATATCATACAAAAACAGTTGATTAGAGACGGGGAGTTTAAAGTTAAGGTGCATGCTATCAACATTCAATCTATTCACATGATTATTACTTTTTTACCATGCTGCAGAGCTATGACCGGATCAGAAGACCGACCGGTTCCATAGAGAGTTCCCTACCGATCGCTAGAAAAAATTTTCTTTATCGACTAGTCTAGATTAATTTTGGTTTTTGTGTGTTCTTTCCTTCAATTTAATCAAAATAGTGCATTTTTTCGCAAATCAAAAGCTCTCTACTGATGTCGAAGACTATTTCTGTAAGGAAAAATGCACAAAACTATTCTATTCAGTCGGAATTCATTATAATATACTTGTCATATATTATTGACTTGCTTTCATATCGAGTTATATTATCCATATAAAACTGGATAATTGTTCAGCACTATACCTCGTCATAAATTTACTTCTATCTCCCATTAGTTATAGGATATACAGGGTGGCTCAAAAGTCAGTGTACCGAAAAAAAGTTGAATATCTCCATTACGGCTCGATCAAACGAGCTGATTTTTTCTATCAGTGACAGAGGCATGTTCAAGCTTTATTTTCATATAGACATGCCTAGAGAGATCCTTCGCTAAGTATAATATTTTTTCTTCAATCTGTCAAAAAGCCAAATTTTTGTGTTGAGGTCACTAGTGATACCTAACAAAGGGTCTCCCTAGACATATCTTTATGAATATAAAGCTTGTGCATGCCTCTGTCACTGTTAAAAAAATCAGCTCGTTTGATCGAGCCGTAGTGGAGATATTCAATTTTTTTCGGTAAACTGGCTTCTGGGCCATCCTATATTTTATACACACCAGAGCTGCTAGCCTGACCTGTTGCCTGCCAGACGCCTGGCAGACAGCAGGCCAGACTGGATTTTTAAATTTTCGCCTAGCCTGATCAGGCTAGAAAATTTTTGACCTGGCCTGCAGGCCAGGCCAGGCTAAAATTCTTAGCCTAGATATGATTTAATACTAACATTTACAGTATTCAATTCCAAGAACAAGACGACTTCACGAGTCGATGATGATTGCCTCTGATATTTTTTGTTGATCATCAAGTCAAATCAATGTTTTTATACGTTTTATAAGGTTTTTTGACCGTGTTTGTTACTGTTAACTTTCAGTTCTCGGACATTTAGAATTTTTCAATCTCTTTTTGAATTTTCTCCTTTGATGATACTCAGCCACAATTATTTCTAGCCCTTTTTGTGCCAAAACTATTTAAAATTCTTCCTGCTTATTCAATCTTATACTAAGGAAGATCGCGTTACTCAGTTAAATAGTTTCATGGTTCTAAGAGCTGGTCTAAACTAGAATCGAATTCAGAGTTTCTTTTAATGAAAATGATTGGAGAATTAAGTCCTGTCCACTCGTAAAATTATCGTGTGAATAAAAGTCATCAAACCGTAAGATTAGTAGAAGGTTTTAAGCTGATTTTGAGAAGTTCTCATTCGTAAGTATTTGAGATTGAAGATACCTTACATATCAGCAAGTATTCAAGATAATCAATACTTTTCATATCTACGTAGTTATAACTGTATTCCAAAAAACTTCAAATATCTCCACATACATTTCTAAATTTCAACATTTACTTGATTGACTACATATTTGAAAGTGTTTTGTTTCAGAACTTAGGTCCATTTTCATGTGTCAAAGATTTTCATAAAACCGATCTTAAAATTGATTCATGAATATTCTTAGTTGAGAATTGGCATACTACATTTTATTGCTCTCATGAAAACAAGCCGGATCACAAATTGAAACATACAATGGATCAATACTAATCTGTAAATTTCATACAATAAAAAGTCTGAAA